AGAATACAAAAACAACGTATATTGGCTTTTTATTCATTGCTGATTTAAGAGATAAAATACTAAAAGTGTTAAGACAAGAAGATGTTTGTAAAAACGTTTGCTTTTATAACTACTTAAATAATAAAATAAGTACAGTTATTCCAACGATAAAAGATACACTACGTAAAATGTAACAAAACAAACATGTTTATTCATTAAGATGGATGATAAGATTATACATACGTAAGAGTATGCATAGTAATTTTTTTTAAAGGCGATCAACCACTAGGGTCATGTCCGCCTTAATAGATAATATTTATAATAAAAATTCAATTTTATTAGTTAGGCTATTAACTCGTAAAAATAGAAATAGTTTGTAATGTTTTCTTTTTGATTTCTTAATATTTGATCTATTGAATTTGCTATAGTTAAGGTTCTTTTGCTGTTATTATAGCTAGGATTAATAAGTGTTTTATAGTTAGGATTTTTTCACAGTTTGGACATTTGGGTGGTTGGTCTCGTGACATCAAATAACCATGAGTAAGACGGGTATGGCCAATTCTTAGTCTTGTTGACACCGCTTCTTCAAATCTAGATTGTCTAATTGATGATTTCTAAGGACTCACACTACTTTTTATTTCTTTTCGCTTGTTGTTCGAAACATTGTTCCATATTTGTTGCCAGGATAACCAAATTTTTGTTTTAATAGCACGTAATTAACCTTCATGTGGCACCGTTGTTATTAGCTGTCAATAGCTGTAATTGTAAGGATAAAAAATAGATTATTTATCTATTTATCTGATAGGTTTTTAATTATTAAACTATTTTATGCATGATTTGATTGGTGGGGTGGGTGCAAATTTACCTAGAAAGTGTCTTAATCGTCAGGATAAAAAATAGATTATTTGGATCAATCTTTATTAGATGTGATTACAGAGTTTATCTGATAGGTTTTTAGTTGTTTAACAATTTTATGCATGATTTGACTGGTGGGGTGCAAATTTACCTGGAAACTGTCAATAGCTATAATCGTCAAAGGGGCTGATTAATGAACATGGGAAATAACGCTGGACAAAGAGAAGTATTTGCGAAATCCTAGGGTGCGATGCGTCTAAATAATACAAATCCCACTCCCCTCAACTTCTGAAATTAAGAAGTAACAGCTTCTTCTTCGGCCTGCAATGCGTGGGAATACAGTTGCAGCTGGAACAGGTTCTTAATTAAAAATCCGCCCCGGCAGTTGGCCCTTTTGTCTAGTTTCTATCTAGGTCCGGTCTATCCTAGACAGAGGGGCGCACAAAGACCCCCCCCTCTTCTCGCCCATTTGTCAACCGGGCCATTATGAGCATCTCATATTGCACTTTAATACGTGTACACTGCATTCAAGGATCGCCTTTGTGCTCGGCCTTTTCTTCATTCATAACATACTGTTGGTTTTTGCAGTCTTCGAAACGATTCGCACTTGTCATACTTCAATTATTGAAACGCCGCACTCGATTTATGGTTTCATCAAACAATCGTAACTCCTTGCAGGCGGGGAACAGGAAAATTCAATGGGAGCCAGCGATTTCTGAACATCTTCATTCGTGTGACGCATTAATATTCGTTGCACAACGAACTTAGCCCCTTTATGCATTTACTGATCTACTACAAAAATCAACTAATGGTAGGTTTTCTGTACTGTCTAATTCTAACATTCAATAGAACATAACTAGTTCTATAAAGACGAGTTTTCAAGGGCACACTATTGAGCACCAACATCCTGTTTTCGGCTGATTCAACTGAGCTTGTCTTTCCTTCATATCCCTTGGTATTTTGCTTTACCTCACTGTCGAATTACATAAATATAAATTTTATTGCCCTTTAGGAGATTTTACTGTCGACCTAAAGCAGTTACAATAATCATTAAATACCTAATTAACTTTGCAGATATACTGAAATATGAACTCATCACCTCTTAAAACAGAGTAATTACACGATATTAATAGTCATTGTAAGATCCTTATCCACGTAGGTTATTCAGTAGCTAAGGAATCTTGCTACCTTGGCGTTTGAGTCGCCTGTACTGAAGAGTAGTTGATGTGGTTTGCTTGATGATGATGGGTATTAGGAGTGGGGGGTTTTGTTCCAAGCACTGCAGCCTTCTGGTTTATTGTACTTTCCTAGTTCCTTAGTTCAGTGTAATCGAGTCGATACTAAAAAGTACTAGTTCATTGAATGTCGTTGCTACATTTCCTTTCCTTGGGTTTTTTGGGCGGTTGTTTCGCATTCGAACAGGATATGGTGGCTGTTTCTTCTTCCTCCTCAGTGCATAACCTACACATGGGTCATAAATATACATGGTATGTAGATGCTTTCTTAGATGCCAGGGACCGGTACTCTTATGGTCTTATCACTCCTCTGAGTTAAGCCTTATCTACTTGTAGCAGTAAGTTTGCCAGTCTTTGTGAGGGTTGACTTAGTATAAGCTTACTCAAGAGCTTACTCACATTTCCTTTTGTCTTGTTTGGATCCATTCTGAGATGGAGGATTGTGTGTTTGTTTATATGGTCTTGCAGATCCTCCTCTAGTCAGCTTTTTTGTTACAAGAAATTCCCTTGTGTACTGGTATTCAAGATACCATCAGGTTGTTGTGTTTCCTCAGGTTTTGTAGATTTATGGAGATTTTGGATGCATTCACTGTCTAATTTTGATGTGATATTTTATACGCTAATGCTTTATTAGTTTCTTGGCTGTCTTATCTTATAAGGATATTTTTGGCAGAGACCTCTTTTAAGACTTTCTATGGCACAATATTATCAGAACGTATTTCAGTAGCTTCAGTTCAGGGTATTGAATTGAGGAAAAATACAGTTCAATCCTGAAACCAATATGGACACAATACGAACTAGATGGTTTATCAAACCTTCCAATATCCATAGAATTCAAACTCTACAATCACAAATCTTTAGAGCTTTGTCAACGTCTCGTTCTGTATTTCTACCGCACCATTCACAACGACCTAAATGTCACTTACATAAGGGATGTTGTAAGAGGTGGATGAAAATTCTTTACACCTCCAAACCCACTCTAATTCTATCGCTAGAGAGCTTCTCCACTCGATTTAGCTAAAGTTATTTCATTTTTTCCAAGTTTGTTGGTAGAGCCATTGATGTTGATAGGCTTTTTCTAGACCAAAGAGATCATTCATATATTTTCGACATGTTGAAATTATATGTCCTGATGTCAAGTTTTTTCAGTTAAAACACTCCAAAAAAGTATAGTGTGAGTCGTCAATCATTCCAGTTTTGTATCGTTGGCAAAGGGTTAAATCGTTGCCGCCATACCTATCCTAGACGATGATAGGTAAACCTTAGATGTATACAAGGTAGAGTAGAATTTTCATTTTTCATTTCACGCAGTATACCACGCGTTTAAGAGTACCTCGGGCTGTAGGATTCTATAGAGCTTTCCTTTTTTCCCGCAATGAGGTTCCATAAATTTCCTTCCATGGGTGGAATACTTATTTTGTGATTTGTGCTACCATAAATGTTAATACATCCCCATCATATACCTAAACATAACTGCCTCCTTTACTAAGTGATCAGCTTTTTAGAGCTATCCGTGAATATGAGTAGGTATTCTGGAAACGATGAGTTCAGCATTGCATTAACCTTTGCCTGTACCTATAGCGACTGAGGAATTATGTCTTATTTTAGGTTTTCTCATTGTTTCAAAGTACTGAGTATTTTACGATTAGTTAAGGTTTTCAGTTGAGATAAAAAAAGTCAAAGGCACGAGCGGGATTCGAACCCACGATCTTCGGCTAGACACGCCGCTGCTCTACACTTGAGCTATCGTGACCTCGATCCACCCGGACACCAACTTCCCATCTCAACCATATCTTTTGAATTTTCCCTCCTTTTTGCCATTTTTCAAATGTTGCTTAATCTATTTGATTCTCGGCGACAAGTGAAATGGCCACGGAGAGCTTTAGTGAAGGTATACTTCATTTTAAACTTCGTTAAAATAAGATCGTGGGTTCGAATCCCGCTCGTGCCATTGACTTTTTATCTCAACTGAAAACCTTAATTAATCGAAAGATATTAATTCGTCAAGCGGACCACGAAACTAGTGAATTTATTACTCAGTATTATGGTAGCCCATAGGTTTGTTTGGGGTTCGAATTAATTTGCGATACAAGCTCATAGAACAGCGATATTACACGTGGTCGTTTTTGTTGCCCCAGAAGTTGTTCGCCAGTACATTTTTGATGAGTGTTGACATCTTGGACAAAAGGGGGTTGTTTTTCATTAATCTTTCCGCCAGGAACTTTCCCGCAAGTTTGTTCGTTCTTATTTCAGGCGGAGGATCTTTTTATTAGAAAGTATTATTTTATTGTAAGTTGAAATGGAGAGTTCGTGTCCGAGAGGGTAGATTAGCGCGGTAGATTAGCGGCGTATTTAGCCGAAGGTCGTTGGTTCGAATCCCGCTCGTGACACTGCCTTTTTTTATCTCAACCAAGACCTTGCACAAAAGGAATAATTAATTGAAAAAAGTAACTTGGTTAATTGACCACGTAAATGGATTAATATTTTATTAGAAGGTCGGTGTTGACGTCAAAGCCAGAGGACACGAGCGTAGGAATTTTTACTAAATTTTGTTCAAGGGTCGGCCATTTCATGAAAGAAAAAACGACCATAGTACAAAAATTTGTTTGTGGTAGCGACGTTTTTATTTCGGCTCCATAGTTGTAATGATTCTAATGATATTTATTGTTTTTTCGCTGTTAGTTCCTGCATGCTCAATCTGTCATCCAAGGAGGTTTTAGTCGAAGTATAGTTTAATGCATTTTTGCCGAGTCAAGCTTCCTATCTGTACGGGGTTGGGTATAAAATAATATATTTTATATAAGTCTTTACCATGTAAAATTGAGATAATTACTTTTTTCATTTTGAAGGTTTATTAACTATGTTTCACAATCTGCCTTTATCTCCTATTCACGTAAGAATAATTTCAGGAAGTGAAATAAAAAAGATATCTCAAATACGGTTTGTTGTGTATTTTGTTGTATTTTGGACTTTATAAAATATGGTAATCATGTTATAGGAAGTTTATTTATTTTATGGCATTGATGAAAATTGGGCTAACAGTCTTGTTGATTTGCTCAGTATTGTTCGTAGACTGGCAAATGCTCCTCCTCAGGTTTCTTCTTCGGGAAGAAAGGGTTCTTGCTGGGATCCAAGTTCAACCTGATAAACAGTATAAAATTGTAATACCGAATGTTTGTCTTAAAGTTTTACGTTTCAGTGTTGTCTTCTTAATTTTGTCATCAGATAGAAAGTTTTTCAATTTTAATGGTAAAAATTATTTTAAATGTTTATATCTTACTCGTAAAGGCGAGTAGCATCGGCACAGTTGACGTTGTACCACCAATCGCAAGCAAATTCGGCTTGGTTGAACAAAGTTCCATTGGAGCAGAGGAAAGTTGCACCTTGTTCACCTTCCCTCCCATCGTGGCAGACGTGATAAGCCTGAAACCAAGTTCACATGTTTAACGTGAATCAAAGGCTAAAATCATTACAATCGTACCTGGCAGCCTGTTTCGACGTTGGCGTACATTCCAGGGACATACGGTACATGGCCGCAGTGGAAATTAGTTGGAGGGACGCTCTTGAATATAGGGTAGTCATGTCCAGGAACTCCAGGCACTTTGCTCAAATCCTGTTCATCCTTTGACTTAACCGGACTTCTTTTCTACAAGCAAACGCAATGTTGAAACAAATTAAATCAATTATGAGAGACTAGTTAAGATAAAACACAAACAAAACAAAAACCACCGCTATTTGTATTTTTAATGATTAGTAAATGACAGTTTCGACGATAGATTAATCCCTAAGTATTTGAAGTTATGTTCATCATATATTTTCTTACCCTTGACATTCCTACACTCCCGGATTCAGCTTGAGAAAATTTCAAGTTCCATTTTTCACAAGTAGTCTCTAATAGGTTAATTTCGACTTTACAGGTCCTCGATAATATTTGCTATGACGTCATTTACTAATCATTTATGACATGAAGCAACACTTGCTAATTTAAAAGTAAATAGGATTTGGATGGACCTGATACAGATTTTTGGTTAAGTTCAATGAATTTAAGAGCGTTTGTTGTTCAATTCTGTGCTACCTGATCTGGGGTTTTGAACGAGGTGGCAGAAAATGTTCAGAGATGTTTCATTTAAAAAATTCTTAAAAAATGAAAGACAGTTCTTCAAAAGTGAAAGAGTGGACTGCGTAAACTGCTACAAATACGTTGGTAACAATTTCACTAAGTCCTTGAAGATGAAGCATCACTGCAGAGAGAAGGCCAGCGGAGCTAAGTACGCCGTTAAGTCTGTGTCGTAAAATAATCTAATAAATAATCTATAAATAATAAACAATAATCTAATAAATAAAAACAAGATCTCACTAGAGAAAAAGATGGTGATATTCAACAGTACCTGAGGTCTGTAGTATGTTATGGTTCGCAGGTCTGGGGTTACTTATACTTGAAGGAAATAGAAAAGGTCCAGAAATACTTCATCAAGAAACTGCTCTGCCTGCCAACTAGCAGTCCTCTAATACCACTGACCTGATTAAAAAGTGGGAGGCAAGCAAAAGGAAAGACCTGGTAACCCGTGCGAGAAACAGCTTACATCACAACTTGTACGCAAGACTGGATTTTGACTTAGGGCGAAACTACATGGCGTGCTCTAATATGACAGCCTATAGGTTCTGGTCTTGAGGGCGAGGAGTGAAGCTTCAGCTGACCTGCCAACCGTGGAGACAGGACCGCGCCATCATTTGCTCCTTATATAACCTCAACGTTCCAGAGGACACTCTCCACTTCATAGGAGTGTGCCCCGATCTGAGAGAGTTCCGCCAAAGGTACTTTGGGAAACTGAAGCTGGATGTAGAAGAAGTTATTGCAATCCTTGGAAGGGATAACTGGAGGAAGCTTGTGGTGTACCAAACTCATGTCCTGCGGTACCGAAAATACCTGGTTGACCACTTCAATTTTTAAAATCAAAGAAGGTCATTTTCAAGTTACAAAAATAGGGATATAAATTTATAAAGCAACTCGACAGACGTCTAAGGCCATTGTCAATTTACCTTTTCGAAATGTAAATTTAATGTAAATACTTTTGTGTAAATAAAGCTTTCATTCATTCAAAAAAAAAAAAAATCTTTTCCCTTCTGCTGTTTAAAGACTAGGGTTGGCCTTCTATTTCTTTTTTACTTTAAAGTTCTCCTTTTTATTTGTTCTCCTCTATCTGACATCTGGGGTCTCTAGCTAGGGGTAAGAAAGACGAATAGCTATTGGTTTACAAAACGGAGCTCGTTAGTTTATGAATATGGTTGTGCTTTTATGTTTACAAATGAAAATATTAATGATTGTCCAGTTCTATCTGTAATCCCCCCAAGCCGAATTAAGGTTTGACATGATAATCGCGTTCAGAAAGCGTCTTGGCCACTTGTTTTCTCCTTTAGCAAGATGTAAACCATTCATCGATCTTCTTTAATCCTCTAGGAAAGCAGACAATCTTTTCCTCTTTTTTGAGCTGCGATGGATCTTCAAAATATGATGCGATGATATTTTTAAACTATATACCATGGAAATCTAATGCAAACTATTGTGCTCATGGTCAATTTGACCAGAGTTCCATCTTCTGCATCTAGGTGCCCAAGATTTTCTGACTTTCAATTTAACATGACATGAAGGCTTGTGTTACAAGATAATACCTATTTTCAGTTATTTCAAGGATCTACTAGAGAGTCGTTTTGAATGGTAAGATTGGTTACATAGAAATGATAATTGAAAGGACTGGATGGGTTGGAGGTTGAAACGTTGGTTGTGCCCTAAAGTTCCATATATGCCCAAAATGTACCTTAGAATGGTGATAGAAATTTGTTTTTCAGTCAGTTTTTCCAGCAGTCAGTCATTTAACAAGTCTGAAGAGTCTGTTGAGTTCTTGTCTTTTAAGTCATTTGTCTTTGAATATCGATGTATCTATATTAGCTGGTGGGAGACGGATAGTACTGTAGTAGATGATCGCAGTGATAAAAAATTCCTTCGTAGCGTTATAGTACCATGCTCATATTTTTATATGTTGTCATTTTCTACGGCTTGAACCACTACACAAGGGATGTAACATGGGTTTCTGGTTGAAATAACTTTGAATATTCTTAAATTTTAATGATGCAGCGTTAAGACTCCAGGAAACAAAGTTCCGGCAACTCCTATCATTCGTTTCAAAATAACAAAAAAAAAGTTTTCCATTTTGAAACTGACAAAACGAATAAACTTATGATTTTTCCTTCTCGAAGGTGGGATAATAGATCATCTCAAAAAAACAACAAACTGTTTTTCTTTCAATCCACAACGTTTCGGATTTATTTTAATCCTTCCTCAGGTGAGTTAACGCCTATACACAGAACAAATATTTCTTACATTTTTAGACCAACATGGTTATCATTGTTTCTTCACTACTTACAGTGGTTAAAACAGTGGTCGTCAGTCATTAATATTTTGTAACAGTTTATTTTAAAAAAGAGCCAGTGTGGTACATATATTTAAGTCTTTTAGACTCCGAACAAATGTTTTAATGTTTTGTACCTGACTAAACTTTTATCACAACCATCCTTAACCATCCCTAAATGTTGAAATAACAGTACTTTATGAGAGAAAACGATGGCGGTAAGTTTCGGAAAGATTAATAATATCTGCGGTGTATAGTTTGCAAAGGATGGGTCCTTCGACACTTCCTTGGCGTACCTTTGCACCTATGAAATATCCGGCTGATGTACGGGACCCACTGGAGATATTAAAGCACCAGAAGGTTAATTATGATTTTAGGATCAGGTAATAGTTAAAAGGGAAGGTTCTCTTATGTTTCCAGAACATCGTCCATCGAAGGCTTGCTTCACATCTAGCACACTGGAGCAGCACTCATATCGCTTAAGGTTAGTATCGCAAATGTCTATAACGCCAGTACACTGATGAATAGTGGAATGGAAATGGGAGAGAATGTGCTTAAGCCTAAGTTTTTCTTGTATTTTGCCCATTATAGAAAATAGACTAAAGAGACAGTAGGAGTATGGAAGATTATGTTATGAGGTTCTTTAGGCCTTGATCCGCATGACGGAAAATTTCTATTGGGATGGGACAGAATTGTAACTGTAGACAAGAAAAACTAAAGCTTTTTAGGTACCTAGGTGTTCAACGATTTTTGTGGTCATTAGGATAAAACCAGGAGCTTTCTTTAGGGAGATGGCAAGGGATACTTCGTTGGATGTTAATGATTTTGTTGAAGAGGAGGAGGTTAGTTTTTAAATCTTTAAATTGTTTTTAAGAAGGAATGAAAGATCAATTTTCATGCGATGAGCGACCTTGTTGTTGTTTTTTCATAACACGAATATCTTCAATTATAGAATACCTTAGCTGTGTTCAATTTCTTGGAGAGGATTGGCAGCTTCCAATGAGAGATAAGTTATTAATGTTATAATGTTAAATGTCCAAATATTTTATCATTATTTGATATCCAATTTTTATGTTCAAATTGATGCTTGATGCCAAACTTAAGTTTTTCTAGTATTTTGCCCATTATAGAAAATAGACTAATGGGACAGTAGAAGTCTGAAAGGTTATGTTATGAGGTTCTTTAGGCCTTGGTCCGCATGAGGGAAAATTCCTATTGGGATGGGAAGTACATGGTACTAGAAGAGAATTGTAACTATAGGCAAGAAAAACTAAAACTTTTTAGGTACATAGGTGTCCAAGGAATTTTGTGGTCATTAGGGTAAAATCAGGAGCTTTCTTTAGGGAGATAGCAAGGGATACTTCGTTGGATGTTAATGATTTTGTTAAAGAGGAGGGAGGTTTGTTTTAAAATCTTTAAATCGTTTTTAAGCAGGATGGCAAGATCAATTTTCATGCGATGAGATTACTACCTTGGTTATCCCTTGCTGTTGTTTCTTCATAACAGGAATATCTTCTAATATATATTTATATATATATATATACCAAGGTTTGTTCAATTTCTTGGCAGTTTCAAATGAGAGATAATTTATTAATGTTATAATGTTAAATGTCCAAATATTCTATCATTATTTGATATACAATAGTGTTTTTATGTTCAAATTGATGCGAAAACGATAAAGATTTTAGTGTTGAAAGGTTATTTAATAATATTTCAAACGAAACGTGAAACGTTTTTATGATATGGTAATTTTTAAACGTGTTTGTGGTCTGTCTAGTTTCGATTTTGTTTAAACTGCTCTAACTACAAAATAAAAACAACATGTATGAAATTAAAAACAAATGTGCATAAAGATCAAATAGAACATAAATTGGCAACAAGAAACTTTTGTTCAACATATTTTTTATAGTAACTTATGAATAATAAGTTTTAAAAAACCATGTGGTAATTATGCTTTTGGTCCGTAATGGCTTGTTGTGCAATATTATTTGCCCTAGTTCGGACCGGGTCGGCCGCTATAACGCTGACATAACCCGGTGTCCAACTTTCTTAGTAGATCGGCAAAACCACGGCCCGTTTTTAAGTATTTTCTACCCGTTTCGAGAAACCGCATATAAATAAAAATACTCGTTAAAAAACAAGAAACCTTAGATGCAACCTTGGATACAAAAACCGTGACTACATGTGAAGAGCTGTTTTATTCTTTTCGGAATAAAGTTCAAGGTGGACACCTTTTGCGAAAGGCCACTTGCCAAGAGATCATCCTCTTGTTTTGCTATAAGGACACTTCAAACTTAATAAAAAATATTAAAAAAAGTACGAACCAACAGAAAACTGGAATTACTTTACATAATAATTTTCTAATATTAAATAATTACAATTAGCCTATATATAAATATTGAATAAATAGGCATATAAATCTCAATCCAGGGCAGAAATCAGGTCAAAAGCAATAACAGCAATTCAAATTTGACGGCCAATGATCCGATATAAACTGGTTCGATTATGAAAATATTGATTACGAAATGATTTGCAAAACATAATATTGAACCATTTGTACTAAGTGATTAATTTTTTTACGTTTTAGATGAAATATAAAGTACATGAATAATTATAAATATAATCATATTTTTTAATTAATATAAATAATTAATAAAATAATAAAATGATTTGCCATAAAAAACCTTCACATAAAACCTTATTGTATTTAAATATCACAAGTTTATGTAAACATTTACTTAAATTTGGTCGGATTTTTTGAAATTACAAGACCAATTCAAACCAGCATTAGAAAAACATGCATCCTCTCTGCACAAAATAAAATTTGTTGAATCTGTAATTTGAAAATTAATTAAATCAGATAAAAACATATTGGTTTAAGATGCATGTAGATGTTCTTCCGAGTTATATTTTTATGATAGACCTTACCAGAACAAATCATAATAAAGTGTAGGTATAAAGTATACATTGCTCAGTACGGTCAAAATTTAAATCAGTAAGAGTAAATTTGATTGTATAAAATTATTCATATTATTATCAAAAAAGGTTTTATGGACTTGTAAAGACAATTTTTTTTAGATATAGTACACGGTGGTGGTGAAATAATGGGGGTGAAACAAGTTTTCTACGCATATTTTCTGTTTCCATTAATAATAATTTGTAATTCCTCACATATATTTTTCTCATGTATGTCCCACCTACAAACCACTTTATTGTCAGATTTAATATGAAAACAATTTTTTTTTAAATAGTTCAAACATTTTTGGTATGGTGTTCATAGTCAGAACTGGAGAATTAGAGAATAGTGAGGAATAAAATTGGCCTTTTTGTATACATACCACGATAGTTGCGTAGGAAAAGGCTCCGAGGAGGAGGACAAGTGCGACTTTTTGAGACCACATCTCGTCTGGGGTTCTGCGACTGAATGGCTCACTGTTTCTTCAGCTGGGCATGCAACACCCCACTCGAAGAACTTTCTCCTCTGCATAACTCCGGTCTATCTGTCTCCGCTCTTAAATAATAAAAGCCAATTAGACACGGTGCGTGAGAAGAGGAAACAAAAAGAATGTTTGCGGTCAACTGGTCGGTTTATTAAAATGTGACATTCCAAAAGAAGAAATTCTTGCGAGTTTAAAGTGATTTTAAAGGGGTTGAAGAGTGGGAAGATGAAATATCCTCTCAACGACAAAGATAATTTTTATGATGTAATGTATGTATTTTTGTTTTGTTCTAATTGTCTAAGACAGATGCACTTGTAGGATTTGATGCTGCATCTTCAAGGGTTTCGCCTGTGCGTTTCCCCGCGTCTATGTTCTTCTGTTAAGTTCTAATTTTTGGCGATCTTCATAAATCATTGTAAAACCATAACATAATGATATTTAAATTTGATTACCTGTAATCTTGGTCTGTCTACCTTACTGGTTTGTTCTGTCAGGCGCGTTCAGTTCTTTGGATTTTTGAGACACACTGAAGATGACGACATAAAACCCAATCAAACTGCGGTTCGTCACCCCGCAGAGCAATAAATCTCACAGTAATGATACTGTACCATAAAGGAGGAAGAACAACTAATCTGGTGGTACATAAACATGTAATCTTTCTCTAATTTCTAAGTAGATTTGGTTGTTTCAGATCGTACTGGTCTCTTATGATTTAATATAAGATGACTGCGTGCACTTTACCATCTTCATTGGTTTGTTTCCTCACATGTTATACTGGTTGATAATGGTATGTGAATGGGTCTGATCGCTAAGCACCAAGAATATGACCAGGATGATCAAACTACAGTCGAAATCGCCAACCACAGTTTTTCACAATTTACTATTATACGCTGAAATCATCAACGTTGTAAATTAAAAAAAGTAGATATTTACATGCTTTTTTGTTATATAATACGTGATACATCTGCAGGGGATAGTTACACTTCCCATTTTTGCTATGGTCTACTTGTAGCCAAAAAATCATAAAAACTGCATATGAACACTGATGACTGAACCTGACTGTGAACACTGATCCTTGCTAAACTGTCCTAAAACCATAAAGGTGATATTCTTGCATCAGAGTAGAAAAATAATTAATCCGGTTGCCTCTCTTAATGAGTAATATGGTTTACAATTTTTTTTCAAACGAGGGTTCGCAACAGCAGAGGTTATATCAACCCTCGGGGTGCCGGTGTTTTTGAAAAAAATCTCATTTCTAAGTATGTCGGATTCGAATGCAGGGCCGCTGGATTCGAACCCAGGACCTTTACCTTACAGTGATGAGCGCCGTGTCAATGCCTAAACCGTTGCAGCCACGATCGTTGTGTATTTATATTGAGTTATTATCTCTATTCTGGATTTGTTATTCAGTGGCACTTTGTTTTAGCTTCATATTTTCAAGGGTATTATGTACCCGTGTGTATGTTCAAATCATTCTTGTCTGAACATCCTCAGTCAGTGAGAACTGAGACGCAATTTTAGGCTTTGATGAAATATCTTCGATATGCCGAGAGATGTCCAGCGTAAGCTCTGGTCAAGGATAGCTTTAGAAATGGAACTTCCTATATTTTTGTTTATTTCTTTCATTCCATTTGTATGTAAACTAAGAATTTTCGAGGAGCAACAAATCTTCTACATCCATTTGGGCTGGGTCGTAAACTGACGAAAATCGGCTACAGTGGAAGACGGCGTTCGGCTATATTGCCGGTCGCCGATTGGTCAAATACTTCGGCTGTTGAACGGCTGTCGTAGTTCGGTAGGCCTAGGGGTTGGCACGGCACTCATCATTAAAGCCTAGTACGCACTGGGATTCTTTGAATCGATTCATGTTGCGGGACAGATTTCGGGGCTGCGTAGATTCATTGTTCAGATGCAGGCCCCGACTCGGCGACAAAGAACCGTGTCCAGACCAAGATTCAGTTCACATTCATCAGTGCCTGCGAAAATGACGGAGGAACTAGCTCTCTCGAGAATTTCCCTTGTTATTTCTTACATTGCACGTAGTGCATCCAATCGGAAGTACATTAAAAAACGCCCAAAAAGATGGTGGGTTCTATAAATATTTCACGGCGGGAATCAGCACAAGAAAAATCTTTTGGTCATTAAATGATGGCGCAGGGTACTGAATTTTTTTTTTAGGATGTCCTCGACCGATTTCGAAACCATTTTAATGAAAGTTGGCTGTCAAATTTCCAAGAAAGATACCAACTTACAGGATCTATCTCTCCGGCCAACATATTAGCTGCCACATGCCGTGAATTTTCATACCACAAACACCGATGGGATGTCTTCAATAAACTGTAAAGTTAACTCGGTACTCCACAAATACCTTTATACAAGACACTATCAAAATCTTCAAGAAAACACTCACTAGAACGTCAACTAAACAAATGAAGCAAGAGCGCTTGTTCCGATTCACGTCCGCACTGGCATACGTTGCGCAACATTGAGTCAAAGAATCCCACATCGGATGGGATTCAAAACAGTCCGAAAATGCTTGCACACACATCAGATTCATTGCAACAATGGGTCGGGGCAGCCCGGACTCTCCGGAGATTCAAAGGGTCGATTCAAAGAATCAGAGTGCGAACTTACCTTAAGAACAGTTCTGGGTTCGATTTTAGCATTCCTACCCGACATAATTACAAAGGCTTTTAAAAAAAACACCGGCACGACGGTTCATATGACCTCTGCTGTGCGAACACTCAATTCTCTAATTATTATATGAGCTTGGTTATCTCAGTTCTTAATTATCGTGTATCTGTCCTGTTTGGCTGGTTTCGTTTGTCAGATGCGTGTGTGCATTTCGCCATCTTCACTTATCGATCTGAGCAATTCTTCATTTGTCCTTCTGATAGGTAATGGTTTGTGAAATACCTCCTACAAAAAATAGATACAAGAATATGACCAATATTATCGGAAATGTTTTTACGGTACGGGCAGAATGACCATATAACAATTTCCTATTGTACGCTGAGAACTTCAACGTTATATATTAAAACAGTCTATCACCATAATATTTTATTGTTGTATTATTTGATATCTAATGAAACCTAGCCAATGGACAATTCAATTTTGATATCTACATTTTCCATTGGTTACACCGTTTCGTGCCGATGACAGGGATGCCCTAGGCGTTTCCCCAAACCACCAAATGGTAATAGCAACTCAGCATTATTATCGGATTGATGTTTTCCACATCTGATATGAAAATTTATTTAATAAAGATATTTTCGTGTGATTTTGTATAAAAATCATCTTGGAATTATCAGCATATTGTGAAAAACTGCATTAAATTGTATATATACAGTTATTATTACATTTCAGGAAAAATAATAAATATAAAAAAATATATCTTGCATAAAAATACCTTTATGAAGGATATCACTGACAATTTATTTATTTTTTTACTTTTTTTTAAAGACGTACTAAAAGTTAAGTAATTAACATGTCCACTCATGTGATTGTTAAACTTAGCACCAGATGGTTCCGATTAGGTTTAGTTTTGTTTGTAGATTTTTTGTAAACTAGATTAGTACTTTGATTTGACACAAGATAGCACAATTATGGAAAGAGCTTCTAGGTAAAGACTTTTGTAATACTTTTTGTTATGGAATTGTGAAAATTACATTTTCTAATAAAATGACCGTTCAGCCCCTACAGCCATAACAGCATACCGGAATCGTTAGAAGAAAAATATCACACTAATTACATATATGACCAGGCCCCAAGGTATGATGAATGATAAAACAAAAAAGGTGATATAATATTCCCTTTTATTTTTTTTTTCAGAGTTGAGTGCGATGATCAGTTTCACAGGTTGGTTGAACTGTGTCATTTGATGTGATGTTAAAATTTAAAAATAATTTTTTTCAGACCGTTCACCTACTTTGATCACGTCAACAGGACACCGTATGAAGACCTGGAGGCAAAGTACGAAACGTCCTTTGTTACAGAACAATACTCGCGTTATTTATTTATTTTGTTAACAGGTCTTCAGGCTCATCGATCACCTTTCTCTCTAATTCAATACCGTCACAAGAGTGGGTAGATTTTTTTTATTAAATTGAATGAATTCGAATAATTTGATTTTTTTTCAGGTTTTTCTTTCCCTATCAATGTGACAAAACTGGCCAACCAAAACGCATGTATGTATCGATTGTTGTTTTATATTAGTTATGAAATTTGTTCAATTTAAATTGAAAATTTGTGTTTTTATTTGTTAGGGATGTGTCTAAAGGCTTTTACAGGAGAGAGCACAAAACGGACAAAAGGTAAAAAAAAAAAAAAATGACCGCATTAGGCGTCAGTGGGATCCAACATCAGTTGGGTGCCTTGGATGAATGGTCAAACCACTTTGGGGATGGTTAGGGATTTTTTTTTTTGGTGGGGGGGGGTTTACGCTGGCATATTACCCATGAAGTTTTCTATTTTAATTTTACTGTCGAGCAGAATCGTGGGCACGGTCCCCCGGCGAAAAATCCCGCCCCCGCCCACATCCCGCCAGGGCTGGAGAGGAGGAAGGAGCCCGTTTGGTTTTTCGCTTTCGTCTATTTGTTCAGTGTTCTCCTTGGAGGACGTGGATAAAAACCAATAACATTGAGATAATTTTGGAAAAGTCCACGTCCTCGAGGAAACTGGGGCTAACTCGCCCTGTCTCCCCCATGTCCACCCCAACGGGATCGGCCGAGAGGACCAGGCCCCCGCCGCGCGCCCGCACCCATTCACTCAGCTGAATCATCTACTAAATTTTAATGGTTGAAGATAATCAAAAAGTAACATTTATCGACTTTAGAAATCTATAGATTATGTTGAATTCTGCTGGATTGTTGCTTATTAGAACAGATTAGTTTATTGGTTTGGGAACGTTTGGGACTTTGCTCAGATTTTTTAGCAGTTTATCTCTTTCATTTTCGTATTCTGGGCATTCGAAAATTATGTGGGAAGGATTTGAAGGGCAATCGCAAGTGGGACAGTTCGGAGTCAAACCACTTTAGAACACATTTTTCAATTTTTTATCAATTAAAATTCTATGAGCTGGGATTCGAACCGCTAGGGTGGATAGAATACGTCTTTCTACTCGGCCCCCGAGCCCCTTAAAGACAGTACAAAAAAATCCCAAAGATAATTCATTCAAAAATATAAATTGTACCTTTGTAATTAATATGTTATCGTTTCAGAATATTATGGGAGAAATATAGAAGACAGTAAGTCTAGATATTTTTTATCCTATTTGTTTAATTGATCCTTACTAAATTTCTTTTCATTTCTAGACGCTTATGGAAGAAACTTAATGATAGGTAATTAATTTTCTTATTATTTTTATTTACTTATTCTCTGTCGTTGAAACAATTTCTACATAATTAAATTTTGCAGAGTACGCTACAACAGAGCTCTACTCCCAGAGATAATCGGGTATAAATTCACAAGGCCATCTTAATTTTTTGATCATTTTAATTGTATGAGTTTATTAATTTATGAACTATTAATAAAATTTATGTTTCAGAAAAATAAAGAGTTCAGAATCGCTTACCTACACGTATGTTTACTTTTCTTCATATTTGTTAATTCGTGACTGCTTTCAATTTGCAACAATTTTGTTTTCAGTGAGGCAGACCTAAACAGAATAAGAATACCAAGGTATACATGTCAAATATAATTCCCGTATCAATTTTTAAACGTGAATTTTTACAGATATGAAGGTCCCGAGAGGCAACTCCATCTTCAAAGTCTTCCGTAAGTCTTTTATCACGGTTTTATACTTTTCTCACTTAACTGATCCATTACAACAGGGACATATACAAGCATGTGAGAGGGATTAAGCCGTCTAAGAAGTTCAAAAGACAGCCCTTGAAGACCGGTCTGTGGCCGTCCGTCCGTCATTTTGAGGACTCCGAAGGTTCGATCTGGAGCTTCCAAGCCGAAGACGATGTCAAATCGCATCCAATTAAAAATGCAACTTCAAAAGAGATTCCAATGTAAACTGCTTTTCTCAACTTCAATCCAATTCATTTTAATATTTCGTTACTTTTTAGGAAGCGTGACACAAAATTGTCTATCGGCCAACCCAGGTCGTCCATATATTTATCGGTGGACGGGTTTAACGAATCGAAAGATGGGAAAGATGGCAAATTGGAAAGTATCGCGTCGTCGAAACCCGAAAGTACGACTAAACCGGAAGAAGTTCCCACCGAACAGAAGTGGGACGTCTGTTCTAACAGAGAAACCCCGTCCAACTCTTCGTCAGATTCCGATTTGGATATTTCGAGTATGACGGGGGAACCGAGTACAGTCGATGATAGTTCGGTGACGTCGGAATCGATAGAATTGCCTCTTTTAGTTACCAATCGACATATCTATTCGTCCAGCAGTATCGAACAGCTCAACAAACACAAAAACACCGAGACTAGCAAAGAACACTTGGAAATGTGTTTGAAGGAGTATCTGGTCAATTTTACAGAAAAGGAGGTAGAGGAAGTTTACCGGAAAATCATGAGCGATGCACATTCTTCAAAATCGGTTCATTTGCAAGAAGAAAACTTGCCGAGCGGTGCTGAGCGTAAGGAACCAGTTTGTCCAAAACTCGCCCAATCCGTAGCAGATGACAAAGGTTACAAGAAAAAGGTAAGCTGCACCCATTTTTCTCAGCTTCCTGATGAAAGTACTGTTGAATCTATTTCGTCCCAAGAAGAGCGGACTGTTCAGTTTCCTCATCCACTAACTATCAATGATTTGAATAACATGATATTGGTAGACACGGAGAAGATTCCAGACTTCGAAAGCCACTTACCTCCGGATAAAATTAATTTACCCTCTCTCAAAAGAAAGTTATTCTCTCATAAAAGGAAGCACGCCTTTTCGCTTAAAAATTCAAAGAATATGAAATACAGTTTGAAGATAACCCATAAACTGGTACCGGAGCCGTTTTCAGGTAGAGTTTTCTCGCATAAAAAGCCGCTGTTTACTTTAGATCTTGAAGACGTGATAGTACAATCGGCGTATCGGCCCATCAATCAGTACGCAGGGGAAATCGTCACAAGGCTTCAACTTCCTATAGAACAAATGAGATTGTTGGATGATCAGTCTAGCGTGACGTCGATAAGCGAAGACGAGCAGGGAGAAGAGAATTACGTTCTCAAGTTGCGGAAAGAAGTTCAGCGTCGTGAAATGCAAAGGGCCGAGATGCGGCTGAGCCCGCAGTATACAACAAAGTACCTAGGTCCGAAAATGGGTACCACCTTATTGAAGCGCCAGCAACTGAACCGTATCACAAAAGAATACACCCACCAAGTGCTGGACAGATCGGATCGGAAGGTTTACTCCAGAGACCTCACGGTCGCAATGCGAGACGGTAGACTGAAATTCAAAATGGGCATCGCAGGCACCAGCGAATATTTAGACGAAGCCGACGACACAATCGAATTTTTCACCATGCCTCCGATATTCCATACCACCTTCGAATTGGACGCTAATGCCCAGTGGATTGAACCAAATGCGGAAAGGAGAAGCAGCGAAGAAAGTGCTGATATAAACCTGTTTCGTTCGGTATTGACAGAACAGTACGAGGCTGAAGCAAAGAGTGCAGAAGAAGCAAAACAGGATTCCAAAGGGGTCAATTTCAAGTCAACTAAGCGCAAATCAATATCAAAATCGCCGTCATCGTATCCAAACGAAAATGACTCCTTACACGGCCAAATGTCGGTAACTAAAAACGTTAGTGACGATTTTATACAAAATGTCGGTATTTCTAAAGGTTTAAAACAAAGAGCGCCAATGCCGATGCATTGTTGGATAAAAGCCAAAAAGGATATCAGAAAACTGCTAAAATTTAAAATTGAAAGGCCGCAACAAACAGAGGATGATGAAGAGTCGTATGTCTTTAAAAAGAAGCGTTTCAGCCACAAAACGTCTGTGATGAATCTACGACAGTTCATCAGAGAGCAGGAGTTCAATTATCCTTTAGATATTGCTTTAGAAACGGAAAAGCTCTACGAAAATATGAAAATCGACTCATTTTACGATTCCGATAATAATTTGCAATTCTACTACCCTTACGACAGCCATCTTTCTTACAAGCCGGGAGTTGTAAACATAGATTACATGGCACTTTTATTTGAGGAGAGGCAGAGAAGTATCGCTTCTTCCTCAGAAGCAGAAGAAGACGAAGGGCCGTCGGACAACGATTCTCAGTGGAACGTGAGAAAGGTTTATCACCAAGAAGCACCGATTTTATCAGATCGCGACTCAGAATCGTTCGACGAAGACGTGATACTAATCTGCGACTGCCCAGATGCGACAAAAATCGGAGTAGAATCTGTAGGGTCGGATTCGGACAAATCAGTCTCTCTCATGTTCAAAATGTTTATGAGGGATAATCCCGGGCAAGGATTCGAGGACGCGTACACCACGTGCAGGGCGAATATCTTTAAAACTATAGAAGGTACGACAAAAGGTGGCGATACCGAACAGATCGTTTTTATGGCCGACAAAAAGGATTCCGACGAGAAACTATACACAGGTGATAAAGACAACGACAACGATAGCGACGAATCGAACGTCAGTGTAGAACTTAAAAAGAACATGCGCCTAAAATACATAGAGAAACTCAGAGGCGCCAGTGTTGGGGAAATAGCCAAGAAACAGGTTGCAGCCGATGAAAAGTCCAAAATGGGCGTGATGAAACAAATAACAAAGTCGGCTATTAAAAAAATCGGCATCGCTGATGACAGCGGTACGATAGTTAGTTCAACCGATTCGACTATCGGTATGTCTCAGGCCCATTTGTCGGGCAATTATTCGATAAGTATCGATCCTCTTGACAACGCCGCTACGCAGGAAGTTGAAGTAGAAAAGCCTTTCATTCACGAGGAGTTTGTCAAAGCGAAATCCTCTTCGTCCTCAATGTCAACCGGAGAGTATCGAATCGAAAACGGATTACCCGTGAAGCAAGTTATAAAAAAGCGTCTCAACAGGGGCTACAATACCCTGTTAAGAGTTTTAGTAAAGACTGAAATGACACATTTGAACAGGATGCGTTTCAAGAGCACTTTTAACAAACCTTACAAATGTTTAAATATATGGAGCCGAACAAACAGAGCAATTAAAACGTTCCAGAAGAAATCTGAGAAGCCCTTGGATAAGAATGCTGTACTTCCTTTAAGTGAGTTTCCACCTTTAGTATCCAACAGTCAGATAGCTGAGACAGAAATTGCAAAGAAATTTAATGAAAATATCGGTAGTTTTGAAGTTCAAGTGAACAATATTATAAACAAAAACACCTTTGGGAACATACAATCCTTACCCGAGTCCGCGTTAGTGCCAAAGGTTCCTACCAAAGAGCCCAAAATTGTCAATCTTAGATGGCATTATTTTCCTGCGATGCAAGCCAAGAGATTTGAAGGGTATGAAAAAGGGCCGATCGCAGATAAACTCAGGGAATCTTTTGATCAAGACTTACTGTACAGCCTGGTTAAAGTATTAGAAGTGCCAGGGCAGGAAACAAACGATCAGCCCAGACCAGCCGGACGCGAAGACCGATTATCAGTGGTATCTTCCTCAGAAATAATCGTACAGGAAGTGGTGGCCAAACCTGGAAGAAAAAAAACGGAGATACAGCACGGCGGTGGAATAAGTTTGGTCGATGATCCAAAGATCGTCGAAACTTATCTGAAAGAGATGCAGAGGATGGATAAGTTAGACAAACGATCTAAGACGGGTGAAGTTAAAGCCAAAGGGAAACGACCTTTTACCCACATCAAGAATTTTGCACGGCATTCTTTGTTTATGCAAGCGACAGAACATGCGGACAACGAAAAGCTATTCAAATGGAACGACTGTATAAAATGTTGGATCGCGAAATTTTCTGACATTAGAAATCTTATAGTGCCCTATTTACGGATGGAGAGAAGAAACATAAACCAAATGGTAATCAAATGCTCCCATGAAAACGACAATTCGCAATTCAATTCGACTATTGATATGGAGGCCAAAAAGAAATCTGCACAGTACAACATGGACTGGATTTTCTCAAAAAAAATGGTAATTCAATTTGTAATTTGTAGACTAGCATAAATATCCTTTTCAAATCCAATTGGTCATTTTTATAAAATTGTAATTAAAAAACCTGCTTGATATAAATTGATCAAATCCTTAAAAATTACTTTATTTCAACAAATCATCCCACATTTAAGCAATTTTTTAAAGAAATCCTCATGAGGAAAATATATCTCAATTCTTAAAAAGCCCAAAAATCGCATTTATTAATTTTTCCGATAAATCATTTGCTCATGCATCTCGATCCGCAGAGATTCCCGACGCTGTCCTCTCTCTACAAAATACAAGACAAGCAGCTGTTCTGTGTTAAGAACCCCTACCACGAACCGTACCTGTATAAAATCAAAGAGATGCATCTCGGTATGAAGATCGGGAGGTACCTGAAGAAGGAGCACGGCATACAGGCCCAAGACATCATACCGCCGGAAATGATTCTCTCTTACAAACACGAAAAGTCCATTTTCATGTATCCCGGCATCCATTTCCTTCCTCTGGAAATCTTCGACAACCAGTCGTACGACATTAGGTAATTCTTTGCCATACTCAAATTCCGAACAATATTTTCAATATTATCTTGAAATTCAATAACTGTTAACGATAATTCTTGAAAATTTGAAAATCAAAAATAACTAATAACTAACAACTAGCAACTGTTCAACGTTTTAAACTGTCTGTTCGTTATTCTTTTGTTTTCTCTCTGGAGAGTCATTGATGTCGATGTAAATGCAGCCTCTTAAATCATAATCTAATTATTCCGTTTAATTTTTGTTTAAATTATTTTCTCCTTCCATTTCTCCCCCTCAAAATCATGAATAACAATTCATTTATCATATATACAGTCTCTCAAACAAAATAGGCCAAAGAAACGAGGAACTTTTTAACTTGACTATTTTACTTAATGCTCTAAGCAATATTCTTAAAAAACTAATTTCTCAGCTCTTATATCATCTACGTATTAGTTTTAACTATAAAAAAATTAAGTTCTACGAAGAAAATTTTACACGGGAAAGGTCCCGGGTTCGAATGTAGCAGCCCTACTGTAGCCTAACTACTAATCCAAAATACTTCCAAAAGAGCTCTCTTAAGCTTAGTCCACACTAGGGTCAAAGTTGCGCGTCTTTGCTAAGAACAACCCCGATTCGATTGCGCGTCTTTTTGGGGGCTGCCCCGCAACGATAAGTCACGTCTACACTATAGAGACATTCCCCTAGAAAAGTCTCAGGAGTTAGGTCGTCTCGCAGGTGTTTCTCTGTCATTGTTATTTGTTTTTCTTTTTTTAACGAGGGTTCGCAACAGCAGAGGTTATATCAACCCTCGGGGTGCCGGTGTTTTTGAAATAAAAGCCCATTTGTAAGTATGTCGGGTTCGAATGCAGAGCCGCTGGATTCGAACCCGGGACCTTTACCTTACAGTGATGAGCGCCGTTGCGGCCACCGACGCCCCTATGTTATTAATGTGGGGTGTTTAGTGTCCACTCTCAACACGACAAACATGAATGACACATCTGCACGGAAAACAAACATTTTGAGCCCTGAAGACGATCTCAATAAAGCTCGAAACGTTGGCATGATGAAGAAAACGTTTTTTTAAAACTTACGTCAACGAGGCCGCACTTTACGATCTCCAAATAATCAGTTATTTCATTAAAAATAGAAATCAAAGATAGTTGGATCCGAAAATTGTATAGTAACAACAATGATACATGCCGCGATCTTTGGGCACATTTATGGCTAGATTGAAAATCTTTTGCAAATGCTTGCGTCGAACGTGTTTAAAGAAAACACACAATTTAGAAATTCAATTTACCCTATCGTGACACGCAACCACTCTCCGGCTGCACCCGCAGTTGCAATGCTGTGAAATTATATCACTGAATACTGTTCCGATGGGACACAAAATCTTGTATCACGTAGACCCGCAATACACTCATGATACAAGGGGACATGTGGAGTAGAATCTCAACAATCCTGATTCAAAGGAGATTCAGCCCCGCAACAATGACGCGCAACTTTGATTCCAAGTGTGGACTAAGATGTAGATCCACTGGTTAGGCGCATGCTATAAAATTATTATTAATAAATAATCTTAAATCATATATAATAATGCTCGTCGCAACGAGTGTCCCGGATAAAAACTTCGTAGTAGCCGAAAACCCGCCCCAAATCTGGTCAAAGTTCGTCATTTGGACTTGAAAAAATACTTTCTAAGTCCGAGAGTGCCTCAATGATGGGCGTCTTTTAACAGTATTGGAGGTCGCGACACTACCTGCGAAAACTTTCTTGTCTCCAGTACCACCAAATGCGTCCGGAGGCTGACTTTAAACTGCTAACAATGGAGAGAAGGATTAACTACTTTAAAAAAAAGAGTTTAGGACGGTTGATGGCTGGTAGCAGATAAAGAACAATTTAAAAAAGGATCGGAAGAGGGTTGGTGGCCGCAACGGTTTCACGGCGCTCATCACTGTCAGGTAAAGGTCCCGGGTTCGAATCAGCGACCTTGCATTCAAACCCGATATACTTACAATTTTTGTTTGTTTTTTTCAAACTCTGTTGTTGCGGACCTTCGTAAAAAAAATATTTAAAAAATTAAATTTAATGATGAATTTTCCAACATGGCACAAACTGGGCTTTCATTTTTTTTTCCTGTACAATTTTTTAAAATATTTCCCACTGTTCTAACTCCTATCATTTTACCCCATTTGCCAAACATTACTAATTTTTCTCTCACCTTTGCTGTTACTTAAAAGCACCTGATTTTGGCCATTGCTCAAGAAGTCGTAACTAACTTCCTCTGATTGTCGCCCTATTAGCATTTTCCTACATTCTGTATCTTGGTTGTCATATTCAGTTTTCTCTCTTTAAAAATAATGTTTAAATTGATTTATATCTATAAATTTGTTGTACCTTCTTATTTGGAAAATATTTTTAAATTACTCATCTATTAGATTTTTAGTGCTATAGCAACATTAGTTAAAGGCTCTCTTATTGTCCTTTATTGTTGGTATAGGGCTTGGAATTATCTTCCTTTGGCATTGAGCTTGGATCCTTCTCTTGAAGCTTTTTCTAAATTTAAAAAAAAGTTTTTAATCTACAAAATATTCTTCCAATATTTTTTTAAATTTTTACCTTACTATTGTATTTAAATTAAAATTGCAGAAGTAGAGAAGAATGGATGGAACTTGGATGGTCGAGGGACGAGCACTGTTTTGGAGTGCCTGCGATCGCATTCGTCCCAAGTGGAAACTACCAGCTTCTCAAGCAGAGGTACATCCACCATTTCTGGACAGATGTCATCGTTTATGATTACGACCCGAAAAATGACTGTTTCGCCGTATTTCCCTGTTCGGCCACACATGGCCCCTACCTTCTTAAAAGGATCTACATCTGCTTCATCGGAGAAAACCCTGTTGTTTACTGCGACCGGATTGCCAGTGCTGTTGCACTACGAAACCATGCTGAATACCAACTAAGGTAACTTAGAAGTGTGTTTGAAATACTTGTACTACTAAAATTATTTTTAAATCTAAGAAATCATTAATTATTATCAGGTAATTAAAAAGGATATCTTCCATCTTACACTTCCTTACACTAATAAATGTGTAGTATTATATTACACTACTTCTTCTATTCTACTATTGCACGTTTTGCACTTAAACTTCTATTTATTTTGTACCTTCTTATACTCATACTTTTGAAACTAATAATTCCATCAGAAAGCAAGCCAAACAATCCCAGCCAGACTGGAGATTCCCAGACTTTTTTTCTGCCATTATATCAAAGGATAAAATTGTCATATTTTCCAATGAAGTCTGTGGGGTGATGAACCTATAGTTTGGTTGTTTCTAATCATTTTGGTCTGCCTGTCTTGACAACCCATACTGAAAGTGGCAAAAAGCCAAAACATCTGAGAAAGTTCAAAATGATCTGAAACACCCAAACTACTGAAGAAGAAGAATAGGTCATTATGTTTTTTTAGTGGTTAAAGTGTGCAATGGCTCATATTATTCTTTCTGGCCACAAAAGTCCCCATACTACATACTAGTGTTAGTCTAGTCAATGCCTATGATGTTATTCCTTAACTCACAGTTTTTAGTTCATTTGTATAAATCAGTATAACTTGACTTGATGCTTTTAGATTCAGATTTTTTAAGGATAGTGTGGATATCAGCGTTGATGAAAAGTATGAGGAGATGTCTTCAAGGCTTAAGCAAATTCTCGAAGAGACTGCATCGAAGCAGCCGAATCTGTCTGATGTTTCGGTAAAACTGAAAATCTTGACTTTTTTTAAATGCTTTTACAAAATTCCATTTACAGACGGAACTTATGGCCCAATGGAATGACATGTTTAGAAAAGTGGTTATATCGAAGCTTGTCGACAAATTTGTCGCCTCTGGGAAAGGAGGCGAGATATACTATTTGCCGATAGAAGACCCCAGGCCGTACCAGTGGGGAGCAAACAAAACATTTGACTGTAATGAAGATGGTAATATTTGTTTTTAAATTTTCTGAAAAAAATTATTATTTATAATAAAACTAAGTAAAGGAATTCCTGTAATACAAGAGGCTTAACCTCCAATTACCCATTGGGTGTTGCAGAACATGGGTCAAACAACTTTACAATATTTGTTCCATATTATTCTCAATTAAAATTCCATGGGGTTTGCTGGGTTTCGTGCTCACAGCCCATATTAAATTATATTTAGTTATAACATATTCATTCTCCTTTAACATTCTTTTTTCTTTTAAAGAATCATTCAAGGAGGACCTTAGTGAAAGTGATGTCAACATGGTTGAAGATGACTCAGAAGAATGTAACGTCATTCTCATTTATTTATTTTACCCTCTATTGTAATTTTTATTTTTTCATTCTGTATTCATAATTATGTATTTGAAACAGGCCCTACAGATGCAAATCCATTTTTGGTGTATAAAAAGGGAGAATCAGCACCACCCTGCACTTGCAAAAGAATTTTAACGAGAGGTGAATTATAATATTTAAAAATTTAGACTAATTATAGGTCAACTAGTTTAAGTAAGGTAGTAATAGCGGTTTATGTGTCTATATTTTTCAAAATTCTCAAACAAAAAATAAATGTGAAGGTGTCTTCGGTCCACCATGCACTTTTCTCCTTCCTTAAATGGCCTATAAGGATGCTGAAATTTGAAAAAAAGATAGTAATGAAACTTGCATTGCACAAAATAACTTTCACAGGCATGAGAGATGCAACAATCTCCATATTTCATGAGAAAAACTACTAAAAACACCTCCAGAATGAAGAAACAAAAAGGTGTTCTTATGTCAGAAAAATTGTACAGATTACCCATCGAAAAGTCTACTAAGATACTAATAAAACTAACAACTTTTCTTGAAAGACTGGCGATTTAGAAATTGCCATAAAAAAAATAATAAAAAAAATATAAAATAAAAAAAACATTAGGGTTGAATACATAAATGATCCACCAATTGATGCCTAACCCCTAGGGACCAGTCTGTATAATTTTGTAAACTTTAAACTTTATTTCTTGTTAATCATTAAATTCACTAATTTCGTGGTCCACTTGACCAATTAATATATTATAATTAATTAAGGTTTTTAGTGGAGATAAAAAAGTCAATGGCACGAGCGGGATTCGAACCCACGATCTTCGGCTAGATACGCCGCTCCTCTACCACTTGAGCTATCGTGACCTTGATCCACTCGGACACTAACTTCCTATCTCAACCCCACCTTTTGAATTTTCCCTCCTTTTTGCCATTTTTCAAATGTCGTGTAATCAGATTGGATTGAAAATTAGTGAATTTAATGATTTAAAATGGAGTATACTTCACTAAAGTTCTCCGTGGCCATTTCATTTGTCGTCGAGAATCCAATCCGATTACACTACATTTGAAAAATGGCAAAAAAGAGGGAAAATGCAAAAGTTGCGATGGGAAGTTGGTTGTCCGAGTGGATCGAGGTCTCGATAGCTCAAGTGGTAGAGCAGTGGCGTATCAAGCCGAAGATCGTGGGTTCGAATCCTGCTCGTGCCATTGACTTTTTTATCTCGATTAAAAACCTTAATTAATTATAATTTATTTCTTTTGCAATATAATAATATGGTAAATCAATATCAACAAGATGTACATGTTTTCTGAAGCACACAACTTTTATCCAGTTGTCTGTGGAAGGATCCACAATCCTCACCTATCCACTAAACGCCCATCATCCCCTTAATTTTGACTAGCAGTAGTAGTTGTTGAAATAGGTGACAAACCTGGTGATGAGCGTTTAGCGGATAGCCGAATCTTGTGAATACTTCTGCAGGCAACTGGATAAAAGTTGTGCGCAGAAAACATGTACAGTTTGTTGGTATTGATATACCATATTATATTGCATATGTACATACAAAAAAATTGAAACATTTTTAAACGCTACATATTTTAAATTTTAAAAACAATTTTCTGAATAAATAATGATTTGTATGTAATTTCTTCCTCGAACCCAACATTAAAATGAGCTGGTATATTTTGAATTTTACTTTTTACAAACTCAGTTTAAGTGGGCTGTCATTTTTCCCCAGTGCTCTTCTTGTGAAATATTCCTGAGGCAATGAATTAACAAAGAGAGTTGGGGTACAAGCTGATACAATTTTTTTATTTTATTTATTTATTTACGGATCGAAATCCTCTATAAAAATGCAAATAATATATCAAAAAGAATAAGGACGTATATGCATGGTAATAATATAAATGGTAAATATAAATGATAAATATAAAAATACTATTAAAGAGTAAAAACTGAACAACAATGAAAGACATAATTACTAACCAAATAAGGCAGATGAAACAAAATAAAGCTGAAAGACAATTGAAACTACAATAATTAGGTACATATTTAATGAAAATAATGCTCTTTGTAAATATATAATAAGACTAGAGTGCGAGAGTTAGTTGAACCAGTAAATGAAATAAATTGTAATAATTTTGTACAGTATGAAATATAAAAGCATTCAACTAAGGTTGTAGTATAAGGTTTTTCACAGATTGCTCAGAACTATTGAAGAAGTCAATGCTATTGCAGATGTTGCTACTCTTGATCATCATTCTGTGTAGAGGAGAAGACAGCATGTAGTTAGTGCTTTGGAATTCAATCTAAAATAATTTATAGGTTTTAAGAGAGTGCGAAGGTGCTAACAATTATTAGCTTTATACAAACCAGTTACAAAAATGAATGAATACAATAATAAAATAATTCCTAGACTTAAAACCAAATCATAAGAATGATACCATATACTTATTATCAACTTAAACATAATAATCCAATGATCAAAATGTCAGAGGTATGACCACTCTAAAAATTATTGCAATTTAACTCCTTAATATTTAATATTATTATTGGTATTAATTCTATTTTTTATAAAGTATTTGTAAAAATTTAACACTGATCAGCTGGACAGTGTGTTATGTGAAAATTTTTTACACCTATACAACATTTCCAATACAAACCATGTTGAATTACAGATATGGATTCAGAAACAATACACAAGTCAACTCACGTGTCCGAAAAGCAGGTGATGCAATTGAGAAAACGTAAGTATTCGTTGATTTTTACATATTGCACTGTATGAATATGCTCGGCTTTTCTTAGAACATGAATTGGTATGCGGCATGAAGGGCGGGTTATACCAAAATAAAAAATGCCTCTGTTTTGTTGGCGAGAAATTCAGAAAAGGAAGTAAGTTGTATGCATTTATTTTTAATCTTCAATTGTTCAAATTACTAATTGGCTATTTGGTTTAGTAGGTCCAGATGGAAAACCAACAGCAACTTGGGCAACTAAAGGTAAAACAGAAAAAATCTAGCATGTAATAAATTATTCTTTAATCACCGTGAAAATCTTAAAAATAAAATAAAAAGGGCAAAAAATTTCTATTTAGTCATTTTAAAAAATATTTAAACATAAAGATTTTTTAAAAAATAATAATAACTACAAGCACTTAGAGAGGATCGTGTCACAATCTTGCTTTTGCGCTATATAGTGAGCAAGTAGTTTTATCATTTGATTTGAAAATTATTTTTGAATGAATCAACAAGTTTCTGTGAAATTAGTTTCATTTGCTTATTATTTATTTATATTTAATTGTGTTAAAGGTTTGTGTGGGTGCATTTTTTAGCAGAATATAGAGTACTGTGGTATAAAATTTGACTGCCAAACACAACCCATTGGAAGTCTTATTTTACAATTATAAATGTTTAACATTATCAAAAATGTGTGGTGATTAGTGACCGTTAATTGATAATTATTCAGAAATCGTGAGATGCGGTCTGGTGTAATGTAGGTTTCAGAAAAACATTTTCTTTACTGAACGTTTCGATCTTTATTGAGATCATCTTCAGGGCCTGGGATTTACAAACATTGTTTACATTTAACAAATACATGTAGGATTACAAAATGCAAAATATATTTTTTTTATATTCAACCAAAAACGTTGGCACGATGAAGAAAATGTTTTTCTGAAATCTACATCACACCAGACTGCATCTCACGATTTCTGAATAATTATCAAAAGCTTTCTACTTTAAATTTGAAATAATTTCATAAGTTTTGTTTATATCAATGCTATGAACTGCTCAAAATGAGATTTTCCTCAGAAACCCTTCTGCGTTTTATTCTACAAAAGCATACCGATGTCCTCTATGAAAAAATGTATCCTGGCCATGTGGAGAAAAAGACTCTTTTTAAGAGTAATTATAAACATATTTTAATACAATTTTTATTTTTTTAACATTAAAATATATCTTGAATAGCAACTATGGGAAAAATCAGAAGGAGAGGAAAAACCGTGTTGATAAAGTCAAAATCAAAAAAACCTGTTAATATAGACATTTCCATTTGTAAGTTGTTTTTTATTTTTATTGTTTAGTATTTGTGCTTAACAATTTCATGTCATTTAGCAACTCAAGGTGAATCAGCAACTGGCGACACATTATTTAATCTTGACCAATTATCAATAGTGCGCACTAATTATAAAAAGATGGCAAAAAAACTGGAAGATGTAAATAATGAGGTTTACCTAGCGGACGTAGGCCTAAATCATACTTGCTCCGAACTAAGTATGGATAGTGTGAGAAATGTATCAAGACAGCCTTCACCGTGCTACGATGGCTATGATCCGAACGGAAAGCATTCTGACAGCAACACTTCGAAAGAACAAGCGCATAGTATTACACCAGAAGCTGTCCAATCAAATTCTGCTATCAACCAACATGGCACCAACGGTAATTTATCTTTCGAGAAGCAATACAGGGGCTCTGAATGTAAAATTAACCAATTCAGAATCTATTACTTGTTGCTATTATTCAACAGTGAGATTTTTAAATTTGTTTTTAGTTGTTGATGATACAAATAAAACATTAACCAAAGATGTTGAGCAATACCATTGGAAAACACATTCTGGTAAGAATATGGATACAAAATTGTAAAACAGTTTATTTTTAAACTGTTCCATTTATTCCAGAGATTGATGTTGCTACCATGTCAGAATATGACCCATTGCAGAGGCAGCCATCCATCCCTTCAGTTGGTATGTCAGCACTGATTTATCATATCATTATTTTAAAAACCTGTTACTTTTTATTTTATTTTTTAACATGAGTTTTTTTTGCACTAGATAGATGATTTTTTTGCATAATCATATTCGTGTCATCAATTTCATATTATAGGAAGTGCATGTGGGTTGGGTTAGGTTAAGTAGAGTAGGATTAGGTTTATGGTTAGGGTTAATATTACAGTTTAGATCAGGCACTGAAAATGGTGGCTCTACTTAGTTTTAAACCATCTTTTTCAACTATTGAATTGATTACCTTTTTTTAAAACCATTTTATAAAAAGTTAAGTTGGGTTATAGTTAGAGTTAGGATTAGGGTTTAAGTTAAAGACAGTTTGGATGAGAAAAAAAGTATCTTAAAATTAATCTTATTAAACTTCAACTACCACAAAAAAATAAAATAAATTGTCACTTTGTGGTCCTGTCCTTTTTTTATTTATTTATTATTAATTAATTATTATGGTTTTTTTGTACATCTTTCAACTAAGCATGTGTCTTATGATATAATGATTGTTTACCTTGCTTTCAGATCGTTTTGACTTGGCTGGCTATATGAAAAAAAAGAGTAAGAGAATGAAATATTTGTTTTTGTTACTTGAAGTTGAATGTGCGATATTTAATAATGTTTCAGGAGCAAAAGAAAAAACTTTGATATGCAAGGATAGAGTGGAAAGAAGTAAGATTTGATTTTTTTAGTACTTTAATAACTTTTTTTTAAGTAAAAAATAAATTTCTTTTTGTTTCAGGTAGTAGAGAGAGTGTTCAACTAAGTAAAACATTAGAGAGTTCTTGTTTTATATATTTTTTTCCCCAATTTACTGATTTATAATGATAATTTTGTAGGATCCAGACCTGATACTAGAAACAGTTCAGAGATGAATAAACCAAGAAGATATAGGAAAGAAAAAGGTATTAGTTTAATTTTTCAAGTTTTCATCATCGTTTATCTGTTAATATTTTACAGTTATGAAGTCAATTGTAAGGCGAAATAATGAAGCCATAGGTAAAAAAAAATCCTTTAATCTCAACACATTTATTATATTTATTTTTGTTTTGTTTTAGATAATGAACAAAAGGCAAAAATGAAAAATGTTCGAATTGGTATGAAATGAAATATATGTATATATGAAAAACGTAAAAATATTTGTTTATGATGGTTTTACAGATACTACAACAAAAACTAACAGCTTCACAAAACTGTCAAGAAATACGGGTAAATATTTTTTTAAAAGAATAAAAACTAGATATCAATTAATGTTAATTTTTAGAAAGCCCACCAAGAAAGAATATTAGCAAACATAGACAACATGGTAACAAACGTTAGAAAATACAGTTTTAAAAATTTAACTATATTCTAACAATTAATGCATGATTGTTACATTTATGCTTTAAACAGCAGTAAAAATGTATTTATATAAATAATATATTGAGATTAATCTTTCAGTTTTTTATATTGTTTGACTTCTTTTGCTTCACGGACCTTTGTTTATTCATTACTATCTTATTGCGATCGATACTCTACCTATTTGACCACCAGGTTAAGTAACTTTTTCTAAGTCATCCCTATACAGTCTCAGTTTTGGTGTGTCGGTGGCTGCAATAGTTTTAGGTGCTGACATCGCTCATCATTGTAAGGTGAAGATCACGGGTTTGAATCCCACAGCTCTGCTTTCGAAACTGACATACAAAAAATCCTCAAAGTACCTCTCCTACTGACCTTCTTTCATGATAATTTTTTTTTCAGTATTAGCATATAGTTATATTTTCATTTACTTCCAGTCCGAACTGCACCTTCATATGACAAGTTTGGCCTCGGATTAGTTTAGATGGCATCCAGTGCCACAAAAGCCATTCTAGTGCATTATTGAATAATTGGGGAGACCAGGTGTTGTCTTGCCTTAGGTTTTTTAAACTGAAAAATCCACCATTAATGTGTGTTTTTAGGGGAAGGAGTTCAAGAAAGGATTCCAACCTTTTCAACTGTGACCTGTATACACTCACTTCCCACTAAATTAAGCACTTTCCTTGGTGCATCTTCCTGCACATCTCTTGGTGTGAGACTTTTCTTACCAAAGTAGTTATACAGTGTGCAGGGTAGTTCCTCACATTTACAAAGGATATATGCCAATGTCTCTGGTTTTTCTTGACAGAGCATGTTTCTTTCTGTGTTTTGCCCATCTTCTTTAGGTGGTAGTTTGGTAGTTCATTGACCAGTATAGAGGTTTATAATTTTCCTCAAGTCTTGCCTGATCTTTCACCTTCCTGTTTGAAAGATTTATACATTTCATCCAGTTGAGTTTTTCTCTCTCAAGCCATTTTTCCAACTTCAACTTTAGCACAGTCTCATGTGCATCTAGTTGTGGTTCTGGTCTGATGGGTGAAAAGGCTACCCCTTCTTTGGCTACTCGTTCTTTGGAGCTAAAAACCTTTATAGTTTCCTGATTGTCTGAAAGTAAGTAAATCCATGCATGTTTTCATATTCTTTTTTATCAATCCTGCGCACAGAGTTGAACTGCATGAACCTCACCTTTTAAGATAGAACCAGTTTAACAAGAGTGTAACTTGGTAATGTCTTTCTTCCAAAGATGTCTGTTACCTATGAATTGGTCTGGCAGATTTGAACTTTCCTCACATTTTGTCATGTGTAGCCATCCCGTTTATTTTAAAATGCTCTAAAATTATGCTGGCTTTTCCTTAGATCTGGTATTATATTTTTGTACCTCAGGAATCTGCCGGAGGAAGGAGATCAACTGCAGTTTACATCACTTTTGAGGCTTTGTTCCCTTGTTCAGTGTTTTTACCACCATACTACAGCCCCATATGTGACCATGGGTCTGACTATTGTTATATAACCAATACACTGGATAATCTCTGGTGGTATAGTAGTGCCTTGATATAGTATGTTACTATGACTTCATCACCTGAATTTTTGGTCGAGGTTTCTAGGTATGTAGTTTCTTTGTAGGTTAAGGTTAAGGCTTTATTTTTTATAGTGGGAGCTTTTAGATTTAGCTTCCTTCATCTCGTAAACGGTATGAGAAATGTTTTCTTAGGATTGATTAAGACTCATTTTTTCATACCATCTTTTTACAATGTTAGAGCATTTCGCATCAAATTGCCCCTTTATGCTACCACGTCATCTACATAACCTATGGTGCCTTAAGTTAATCTCTGTGATTAGGTCATCTACTACTAGAAAATATAGAATTAGAAATAGTACTCTTCGGGCATCCATGGGTTGATGGTATTTTTACAGACAGGTGACCAAGTACAGTGCTTTTATTTTCATTGTGTTTATATCTTTCTTTATATACTTTCTATCTTAAATACAACTGTGCGAATAAATGTAATTGTACATGTATAATTAAGATCCAAAAATCTGTCTTTGTAAGAATTAAGACTGTGCCTATTTGAAGGCATAAAAAATATCTTAGATAATTATTTGTATATTGTAAGTGATATTTTGTTGTAGAAGAAGTGCAGACAAATGATGATAACTATACAAATCAGCAAACAGACGGTATGTTATAAATTCAATTTTTCTTTCATTATAAACATTACTAATTTTTTTCCATTTTAGTCCTTAACTATCATGCGCAAACATCACATAACATACCAAAAATGGCAAAATCAGAAAAACGTATTGATATATATTATATATTTATTACTTTTCAACATGTTATAAAAATCAATGTTACAGGTTCAAAAGGCTTAAAGAGAATTTCTGTTCTGGCCAGTCCATTTACAAAGAGAGCAATGCGGTCAAAGTCAAACATTGATAACCTACTGTCCCAAATAGGTAAATTAACTAACATTGAGAATGTAAATTTTAAACTTATACTATTATGATAAATATCTTTCTAAATCTCAGAAATTGATCCTGTTATTGAAGTACTGATCAATCCAGACAACTCGGTGAAGTCGATTATCCGATCTGCAGGTAAACTAGAGTTAACAGAAATACAACTTTTTATTGTAGTAGTTATGTCATGATGAGAAATTATTAACTATTTCAAGCTATTATTATTGGATAATACTAGATATTATTGAAGTAATACTAAGTTCCACTGTTTCATCAGTTTAAATCAATTAATAAAAATCTTTTAGTTTTATTAATTTTTAAACTCTTTGTTTCCAGCTGAAGATGTCTTGGATAATAATACTCAAGTTAAGAGTAAGTTTTAAAATTAAGTTCTTGTGACCCACACTGACCTCTAACTGGAACAACTTGACATCTTTCTTCCTCTGTCGCTACGAACAAAATCTACACACCTGTGAAACATCAGCCCATCCTAGAAACATTAGTCCTGGCTTTGATCCAATAACCTACAGAATTCTACATCAGCTTCGTTGCATGGAAATTACTCATTACTACCATTTATAGTTCCTTCCTTCACACCACAAACTTTCTTACCTTTCCTTCATCTCCATGATCTTCAACTTAACAAACCAATTGACAATGTTTCCTTGTACTGTCCTATAATTCTCCTACCTAACCTTCGGAAAGTAATTGAGAATTTACTCCTATCCTGCCTGCTTGGCTTCCATAATTACCACTGCACAATCCACCAAATTCATCACAAGTTAGATGTATTTGTCATCACTAGAGTGAAGCAGTGCTACCCTAGAGTCTTTCTTGATATATCCAAGGCATTTGATTGCATATGGTACCAGGTTCAACTGCTGAAACATACCCTTCATTTTCTAGTACATAATATTTCGTTCTAAAATCCTGCCTACATGATCATTTTTTCCAGGTTACCTACTGAATCTCAACCTCTTCAAACCATTCCTATCAAATGTTTCTCAAGGGAACATCCTTAGTTCATTAGCTTGCAGCATATACATGACAGACTTCCCTCAACACTCCAACACACTTACTTATTTGTTGATGAAACAGCATCCTCTCTGTAAACATTATCCTGTCTTAGCAGTTGATCTCTCCAGGAACACCTTACATCAGAACCATTTTTACATAAATGTAGAGTAAAAATTAAATCAAATCCCATTATAAGACACGCCCAAACGCAAAATACTCTCTTTCATCTACTGAATCAAATTGCATTGCCCACTTCTAAAACCAATCCTCAGAGGATGCAGCATCGGGTTCATGTCGTGCAGACAAAGAAGCTGCCTAATGTTGGTCATTGATGGTGGCTCACATTCTCGCTTAAACTTCATGTTTTTCATGTAACCTACCTGCTTATTGCATAAATTTATGCACTTCTTGATGAATAATAGATAACAACAAATTAATTCTTCTGAAAAGTCTTCAATTTTGTTTTGTTCTTACAGCAATGAAAAGAGGTAAATTGAAGGACAGGAAAGGAAAACACTTGTTAAAAATGCAGTATAAAGAAGGTATTTTTATTGCCATACCATTTTTATGTCCATTTATTTGTACTTAATTGTTTATTTGTATTTTTTATTCAGAAATAAATAACACATTAAGTAAGCTGCAGGATAAACTGACAGCACGCCTTCAAAATCTGAATTATTCCTCAGAAGGTATGAAAAGTCATTCTTTTCCTCTACAATTTATAAGTGATTTTCTTTAATTTTTTATATTGCTTAGGTACTGAAGATAGGGAAATTGAATCTAACGGGCCCAGTGATGTAAAAAGTAAAGTAGATTTGTTTACTTTTAAAATCAGCTAATATTTTATCCCAATTTTTATTTATTTTCTTACTTCAGGACAAGAAGTCAAATATAATTCTAGCACTCCTGTACGACTGCCTTCAGTAATAACTACAGAGCTAGAAAGCCAGAAAATATCTTCTGAGGACTCTCTGCCAACATTCCATCCTAGGGAGTCAGCAAAAGCCATAGGCTTGTTGGGGCCATCTTCTTTGTTAAGAGACCGTATGTTTTTTGTTAAAATATTCTTAGATTTTCTAAATTACCCATTTTAATTATATTATTTAGAGCAACAATCAACCCCCAAAAAGTATACGGCGCCACTTTTGAAACACCCGACTAAAACAAAAGGTCAGATACCTAAAAGATAAGATTTAGTAGTAAAATATTTCACCTGATCGACTATCTTATATCAAATTTAACAGAAAGAGAAGTTGAGCCAAAAAAGAAATTGAACAAAAAAGTGCCCACAGTTAAAAAGAAGAGAAGTGAGTTTGGGTTTTTTATTATTCTTCTTATGTGCATGTTTATTAAAATCTACATTGAAATCATTGTAGCGGTGAAAGTTCAGTTAAAAAATAATTTGCCTGACAAAACCAGAGATACAGAGACATGTAAAACCACAAGTAAGATTATCCTAGTGGAAAATTGGATTTTGATAAATTCAATTTGTTTAAATATTTGTTTCAGCTCATAAGGATACAAAGCAGAAAGGAAATCAAAGTAAAAGTTGCAAACAAGAAGACAAACGTCATGGCTCTAAACAAGGTATTCTTTTTAAAAAAATTCAACATTTAATGGTATTTTAACAATAAAATTTTTGGCAAAAATGGCAAAAAGGAGAGAAAATTCAAAGAGTGAGGTTGCGATGGGAAATTGGTGTCCGAGTGGATCGAAATCACGATAGCTCAAGTGGTAGAGTAGCGGCGTATCAAGCCGAAGGTCATGGGTTCGAATCCCGCTCGTTACACTGACTTTTTTATCTCAGCCAATACCTTTCATAAAGATTAATTAATTTAAAAAAGTTAATTAGTCAATTGGACCACAAACTCTAATGGATAAAATTGTATGCTCATTAAACATGTTTGCTTTTTATAAATAACTTTTATGTATGTGCAAATTTCATTTTTATTTATACATTTTAGAACTTTTAAGTTTAATTTTTTAATAAACTAATAAACTTTTGTAGGAAATAAAGCATCTAGGTACAGCTTTGAAGTGCTGTCTCTTCTCAGTTCTCAGGAGTTGTCAGAAGCAAATAGTAATTTAAATAATTGTAATGTATCAACTGACACAACGAGGTCTCAAAGCTCGAGCAACTTCTGGAACCAATCAGCAACGATAGATGAATATAGAGCACTCATTGGTACAGAACCAAATGTTTACAAATACAGTACGACTGTTAAAAATGCAAAATCGTTTATTTCAGGAGAAGACCTGCTTGGGCTTTTGCAAACTGCTCGAACAATGCTCAGATCAAAGAGTTCCAATAAAAAGGCCCATCTAAGAAGGAGTGAATCGTTAAAATATCCAAGTGAAAAACCCAAGAAAGTACTCATCGAAAGTCACAAATCATACCCAATTTTACCAACGTCTTTAGTTAGAAGTAGAGGCCAGTCTGAAAAAAGACTTGAGAAAAGTGAACCCATATATGAAAAAAGGATAACACACCAAGGTGATATTTAAAATTATTAATGCATCCGTAGAAGTTTTATCTATTGTTTGTTCCTTAACAGAAGTACCTAAGTCTCCGGTACAAACAGAAAAACACTTGAAAAGTGTTATGCTACCTGATATGGCACAAGAATTATTGTCCAACTGTAAGACCCCTTGTAATTTAGTTTTTGGTGTTCAATTACCTAATTACAATTTTTAATATTTTTCAGATCACACAGTTCAAAATGAATACAAAGAACAAAGTAAAATTGAATTTTTTTGTTAAATATTAGACATTTTTAATAATATTATTTTTTTAGAGCAATACTTGCACCAATTCCCTAATGATGTAATAGGCAAATTAGAGGCTATTATGAAGGATAAAGAAAAGCCAGGCACTCCAGCCTACAATCTACTCAATGACATGAAAGCCAAGCTAAGCCAAACGTCAATCGGTAGGCCCTGTGAACCTCAACCTGTGTGGGGCGATATAGGTATTTGACGATAGAAATAAATTCACTACAGTAGAACTTTGACATCATACATTTCAGCACAAGACGGAGTGAGCGACACGGTAAGAGTAGATCGTTTGCTGAACCCAGCAGCAGTTACATACACTAAAGGGGAGTACAAAGATCTTTTTGGAAATCAAGTTCAAGGCAATATTGGTAAGGATAGCCCTGATTTGTTTTTATTTTTTTCTAAATTACATTTTAGTTTTGCTTAATAACATACATGATTCAACATGTTTGAAGGTGTCCATCCATTGCTGGATTTACTATATAATATATTTTAAATAATTTTTGCATGCTCTGCATAATTGGACAATTAGAAAAACAGGTCATGATTGTGTTATTTAATGTTATTATTTTTTTTACAGAGAAATATTTAGTTTATTCTGGTTATGAAACTGCAGGTAAATAGATTAACTCATGTCTGTTAATATTTTATTTGGAATTTATTCAGTAAAAAATGTATCATCATAAACTTTTTTTTTCAGGGAAAGATCAGGATAAGGCTGCTAGTAACTAACTTTCAATTATATATTAGTAATAAATATTATACACAAATAAATAATAATAAATTATTCAATAGGTGATACATTTGAAGAAGATGGTGCAGTTGGTAATAAACCTTTTACTATTATTTCATAAATTATTTATTTTTTAGCTTTTATTTCTAGCTTATCTGTGTTTTTGCAGTAGATGAGCAATGATAATTAAAATAATTAATTTTATTACATCTATAATTAACTATGTTACTACAATTCTAGATAATTCCAAACACTACGCATACACAATTCCTTACGAAAATGAGCTTGAAGGTTACAAATGTAAGTTATAAACAGTAAATCTTTTTATAAATTATATTTGATATAAATGATAATAATTTACAATTTATTTTAAGTTTCTCATGGGGAAACTAGAACTGGAAATCTTCAAACACCAAGGAGGCAAGGTATAAATAATAATATTATGCATTGTTTATGTTTTGATTTTTTTTATATTTATTTTTTTCCTTCAAGCATTTACATTGATGACTGTGATAACAACTGCTAAACGAATGCATGTCAAAGGATGCACTTGTGTCAAAATTTGCAACTGCAATACTAGTTTGCACCAAGCAGGTAAAATCGATTTCGCATTCTGCCTTTCAAAGTTTTGAAATTAAATCGAAAAATTCAGGGCATTCTGTGGTGATTGGGGATGGAAACAAAGTCAAATTTGAAGCGATTGATTTGTTAGAAACAGAACGACCAAAACAGGCTATAAAAACAATTCGTAAGTTCAGCGCTTTAGGACTCGAATGCTATTAAGATATTAATTGTTCAAATGACATTTACAGCAACCAAAATTTTTGAAGTCACCCCGCCTGAGAAGTTTGGACAGTACAAAGCCGAATTCATGTCTCAGCTTGGTATATTTACGTAATTCTTAGAAAAATAGTTATCTTAATAATGAATGACAAATTTTAGCTGAATTGCAAGCACAATACGATGAAAAGGCTAAAGCTCATGCCAAGCTTCTACCAAAAGCTGTCAAAGCTCCCAAAGGAATTGATGTGTATGGGAATAAAAAGTGTTAGTATATCTAATCTCTTATTGGTTTTTGAATTCATAAAATTGTTTATTTTATGTTTTCAGTTAAACAACGAGATACATCTCAAATAAATGATGCCGCATTGGAATGTCAAAGATCAAGGGAAGATCTTCCATTGAAAGGTGAAAAGATTACTTTTTTTACTTACTTTTTGAAAAATCAATTCTTTTCTCTAACAATCTTTTTTTTTTTAAGCACACCCTCGATCAATGCCAATATCACATATTTTCAATTTGAAAGAATTTATGGCTTCAAATGTCATATTGCAAGGTTGTATGCTTAGATAATATTTTATAATTAAATTTTACAACAATACATCATTTTCAGAGGGAAATAATAGGATAATGGTGAAAGAACAAAAAGGTGTTTAATTTATTAATATGTATATTTCAATTCAATGTTTAATATTTTTCTTAATATAAATTAGTGGAACCTAAGCGAAAGAAACACTTAAAAGAAGAACCTATACAGTGGAAATTACCTGCTCCTGGGGATGCTTCTTCTTCTGGTAAAACAAATCTTACCAAAATAGTAAATTTTAATTTTAATTTTGTCTCATACAATTGCAGATGTGATTGACTTGGATAAATATTCTTCGGGCGATGAACTTGAAATTAAGAGGAGTGATTCTGAACTATCATTCGGTCAAGGTAATTTGTAATTAGATGCTCATAATTGTGAGGTTTCCTCCTGTGTCTGTGGGGTGATGAACCTGTAATTTGATCCTTAGCAATAATCTCGGTCTGCCTATTCTCGCTGGTTTTGTATACCAGATGTATTTTGGCATTTTGTCACCACTAAAGATGTCATTACTGACAGACCAATGAAAATAAGCAAACCACAGTGATCGGTAAAGATCAAATTATATATATTATTAAAACATAAATTCTTTGCAGGAGGAGGTTCAGAATTGGGATCTATAAAGGATAAATCACTTAAAAATGTGCCAAGCGATAACNCTAAAAACCTTAATTAATTGTAATGATTTAATCAGTCAAGCGGACCATGAAATTAGTGAATTTATAGAATTAAAATGAAGTACACTTCACTAAAGCTCTCCGTTGTCAAGCAATTGTCGTCGAGAATCCAAACCGATTACACGACATTTGAAAAATGGCAAAAAGGAGGGACAACTCATAAGGTGGGGTTGAGATGGGAAGTTGATGTCTGAGTGGATCGAGGTCACGATAGCTCAAGTTGTAGAGCAGCGGCGTATCTAGCCAAAGATCGTGGGTTCAAATCCCGCTCGTGCCATTAACTTTTTTTCTTCTCAACTAAAAACCTTAATTAATTGTAATAAATAAATAAACTTTAAAATCAAATTTTTAGCAACTGTTGAACTGCAAGAGACGGTTGGACCAAAGAAAGAAAAAAAGAAGTCGATTATTTTGAAGAAAAAAAATACTAACAATACACCAAATATAACTATTCTAGGTATAAGATATATACACAATTTATTTTAAAAAAATATATATTATTTAAATTTTTCTATACAGCTCAAAAAGCACCAAAAATTAGAAAATTAAAGCTGCCAGTTATCAAGTGTTCCTGCATATGCCCTCAGTGCGTAATGCATAGACATGAGGGTTGTGATGCCATGATAGAATGGGGCTTCGCATCCAATTTAATGGGGAAACCACTGGGCGAAAGACGAATTTTGGAGTTTCCCACTTGTACTTGTGAAAAATATGTGCAGCCTGGTAAAAATATTTTTGTTAAATAAATTAATAGCATTTATAATAAAATGTGTGTTACAGTTCAATCTGATGAAGTGGATACGACTCCCTTGAATGTCAGGAGAGCAAGAAATGCATTAAAGAGTAAACTCTTATTGACAAAACCTGAAATTTTCACATTATTCGTGTCCACCGTACGATTGTGTGAAGAACTTACAAGAAAGACATTTTTCGACATGTCAAAAATGAACCTTTCAACTTTGGAAGCTGTTTGTGAAAATTTGAATCGTCAAAGAATCGAGGTTGGTAAATTGCAATATTTAAATTTTTTAACTTCCCGACATAATAATTATGTTGTCTTACATGGCTAGCATATTTGTTCGTTTAAAATTAGGGTTTTTCAAATTAAATTCACCCTTTATAAATTAAATTTACTCTTATGCAAATCAAATTCACCATTTTGCAAATTTAAACCTCTCTTTCTCAAATTATTGTAGTTTCACTCTTTTTAAACTGAAATTTTCCTTCACTCTCTTGCAATCTAATTCACCCCTCACTCTTTTGCAAATTAAATTCACCCTTTTAAAAATTTACCCATTTGCAAATCAATTTCACCATTTTTTTAATCAGATTCACTCTTTTGCTAATCAAATTCACCCTTTCGCAAATAAAATTCTCCTTCACTTTTTGCAAATCAAGTTCACACTTTTGTAAATCAAATCCACCCTTTTACAAATCAAATTCACCCTGTTGCAAATAAAATTCATCTTCATTCTTTTGCGAATCAAATTCACACTTTCACAAATAAAATTCTCCTTTACTCTTTTGCAAATCAAATTCACACTTTTGTAAATTAAATCCACCCTTTTACAAATCAAATTCACCCTGTTGCAAATAAAATTCTCCTTCACTCTTTTGCAAATCAAATTCATACTATTGTAAATCAAATCCACCCTTTTACAAATCAGATTCACCCTGTTGCAAATAAAATTCATCTTCACTTTGCAAATGAATTTACCCTTTTGCGAATGAACTTCACTCTTTTGCCAGTTAAATTTATTCTTTCTACAATATAAATATATCATACAATATATATTTTAATATATGTATATTGTAATTATTTCTACATATAAATCACATGTAAAAAAATCAAATAATATTGATTTGTTAGTAAGAAATATAGTATGAATTATCAAGTAGAGATCTTTAAAAAAAAGTATTAATTAAAAAAATAAAATAAAAATAGTCACATTATAAACTCCTGACATGTTTTCTTTCTGTTTTCATTTATAGACCCAATATGTTCTCTACGGGAATAATAAGTTTATAGGGTTTAAACTTATTATTCCCCCCCCCCCGGTTTTTATCAAATAGTGCTCAACTTAGAAAAATAAAATTTAAAAATCATTAGTATAAGCTCTAATTTTAAATTGCAATAATAATTATAGTTTTTTAATTTATTAAAAAAAGTTTTTTTTTTATTTTATTTTCAAATACTAGCCTGAATTTTCACTTGCAGATTCATCAATCCAATCGATTTTATGAAAAATGGCAAAAATCGTTGGAAAATTGGTTCAGAAAAACTTGACTATGGAAACACGAGTTTTGATTATTTTTTATAGCTCGGTTATTTTCTTTTATAGTCTGGATCATATCTAGTAGATAGGATTTTGTTCCAGTACTTTAGTATCGTCTTTTCTTAAAATCTTTATTTTTATTTTTCGAATATCGATTACAGGGGAGACTTCCACCTACTCTTTTCAGTCTTATTATCTTGGTTTATTTGAAATTGACATACTTTTATCATTTCTATTTGATTATTCGTAATAGATTTCTTACTAATTAACATCATTTGTTGTTTTTTAGATATAATATGCATGTAGTTAGAAATACTTGATTTACAAAAGGGTTGAATTGATTTGCAAAAGGATGAATTTAATTTGAAATGCCTATAAATGAACAAAAATATTTTGTAGTGTTTATTAATTACATCAATAAAACCGTACAATTGGCATGAGCCTTATATCAATCTTACACTACATACTCTTTAACTTTTTGTTCAAAAACATTTTACATTTTACAGCTTGCTTGTTATATAAATGGGTTATTCAGGGACACAATCAAAATAAACTACTGTGTCAAATTTCAAAATGTAAAGAAAGGATACTACTGCCAAAAAGAATCCGATTGGGATGTTTACAATATTTCCAATACGCCTAAGTTCCTCAGGATGATAAGATACCTTATTGAGGTAATACTATATAACCATTCAAAAAATATAAATTAATTCCTGTTAAAACTTTTTTTTTTTTTTTAATGTAGACAAGTTTGAGGATATTGCTTTTGAGATCTCTCAGTGACCTGGAAAATTATATAGTTAAAAGTGGGCGATTGGCTATAGCAATGGGAAATGATTTTGAGTGGGTTTATGAAATAAGAAGCCGTATTTTTGATGAATCGAGGCACAATTATCCTTCACTATTTATACTTGACTTGAAGATTGGACCAGAAGGACCATTCTACTCAACCTCAATCGACACCCATATTGTAATATTGCTGTTTTCAATGTGTACCCCAATCAAAACTATATACATATATATATTTTTTTTTTTAAGGAAAAACTTCAATCATTGATAGATAAAGCTGCAATGGTATGCCACAATGTGCCATTGATTGACATGGATGTGAATGAGAAGTTGCACTACAAGACACCGATTTCATACAACTGTTATGGCATGGGTGAGCTGGAGGTTGTCCAGACTAAATTTCTAATCGAATATGTCATGAGGAAACTTGAGATTGTGCTCAACAGTTTTAGAAAGCGTTGGGGCGTTTATCAGGATTTCTTCTGCATGGATTTACACTCTCAAATCGAGTAAGTTTTTTTTTTTTTTTTGCATATTTTCCAATTAAATATTTAATTTTTCTTCAGGCAAATTATGGAAAAGTGCACCTACTCCCAAGAACTTGAATTTGAACTGTCTCGCCAATACACGTTACTCGATGAATATCAGTACATAATCCCAGAAGTAACAAACATAGGCCCATTTGCTATTGTGACAGCTAAAATCAAATATTATTTATTGGAAAAGCGGACTGAGCTGATAAATGGATTATTAAATGCTTATTCAGCCAAATTAAGAAAGAAGACTAAAGAGGTATGAATACAATTATATCCTAAGATTTCCTCCTGTGGTCTAGGAGATGATGAATTTAATAATAATAATAATATGCCTAACCTCGCTTAGTCTGTCAGATATGCTTTTTTTAGTCTTAAGCCATCTTTAGTGTGTATTTAAGCAGTTACTTATGTCCACAAAGTATTTATTTCTTGTAGGAATTTAACATTAAATGTCATTCCATACATGTTTAGCTGTCATAATTGACCATATTAATTATTCTTTTAATCTAAGGTCTTAGTTGAGTTGAAAAGAACAATTAATTGAATTAAATTTTATATTAATAGTTTCGCTTATGCTTTCTTACTTTCTATAGCCATCAGTGTTTGTATTTAAAAACTTTGTCTGAATAGACCCTGAAGGTGGCAGAATTCCAAAATGTTCCTGACAGACCAGGCAGGCAAATATGATCAATAAGGATCAAATGACAACAATTATATGTTAATTACGGCATTAAAATTATCCATTAATAGTTATAAAGTTATTTTATAAATTAAGTGAACAATGACAATTAATTAAGGTTTTTAGTTGAGATGAAAAAAAGTTAATGGCACGAGAGGGATTCGAACCCACGACCTTCGGCTAGATACGCCGCTGCTCNAGTGGTAGAGCAGCGGCGTATTTAGCTGAACGTAGTTGGTTCGAATCCCGCTCGTGACACTGACTTTTTTATCTCAACTTAAAACCTTAATTAATTGAATATTATTCTTTAAGTATTTTATGTTCTTATTTTTTAAAAAGTTTGAGATAAACTTGTATGCCTAAAAAAATAGCATAAAACTAAATGTTTGGGAGTAGAGTTTATGTATTTTACATATTTTATTGATGAAATGTTATTTGTCGATAGAGTTAGGGTTTTTTTATTTATTAAATAAGTGAATTGATTCATGAAAATTGTATTATTTCAGATCATAGCAAAGTATAATGAAACGTATCAAAAAGTACAGGAAAAGACCAGAAACATTGAACACCTTGTCAATCAAAGAGAATGGATGGAAACTATCCCTCGTTACTTTTCTGAAATAGAAGAAAGCATCTACAGACATTTGAAAGTACTCACACAATAAAGTTTAAAATATTGAAATCATGCTTTATTCAAATTTTTTCAAAGGAATATGACATATTCGACCGATTTCATCACAACCTGTTGGATGAGGATTTGAATATGAAATGGATGGTGATAGGGTGGCCTGAGAAAATTTTAGAAGCAATTCATGACCAGCAGGAGATATTTGACGATGACATCGCAGTGTTCCGTAAAATCCAGTCTGAAGATGAAGTTGCGATTCAGGAGAGAATTGAACATCTCTCAAAATCAATTGCTGCAGTGCAACTGCAAGATGAAAAAACCAAAGTACTAAAATTAACTCTTAAAATCTCATTTCTTCATAACGTCGAATTGTTTTTTAAGGTGCACGAGATCGCTCAAGAAGTGAGTAAAATCTGGAAACTTCTCAGAGACACTGTAGACTGGGGAAGAGTCTTGAATAACAGGCAGAGGCTGTTCGGTGATAAAGTCACGCCCTTCACTGAACTTACCACACTCACAAAAACTTTCACTCCATTCAAAAATCTGTGGGCTACAGCATCAGACTGGCTGCAGACGGCTGACATGTTCTTGGACAATCCGATAATGAACATTGATCCAAGCACGATTGAAGGAATTGTCAATGAACATGCAAAAACAATGACAAAATGCATAAAACTATTTTCTGAAATACCAGGTAATTTATATTTCTAGAGTTTTAAGATGAAACAGCATTCTGAATAATTATTGTTGTAGCTTGCTTGAAAATCGCAGAAACAATTAAAGAGTTAATTGAGGAGTTTAAGCCTCACATACCGATCATACAAGCTCTTTGTGCTAAAGGTATGAGAAAAAGACATTGGGAAGAATTTCAGACGATGACTGGGATCCCAATAAATTGGACACCTGCTTTGACGTATAAAGAATGCATAAATCTTGGTGTTCATGAATGCGGTGAAGCTCTTGTTGTGATATCAGACCAAGCGAAAAAAGAATACGTCATTGAAGTGGCCATCGATAAAATGGTCGCTGAATGGGAAAATTGCTTGGCTCAGTTTTCACCTTTCAAAAATTCTGATACGTACATATTCAAACTTAGCGATGAAGTATTCCAAATGTTGGAGGACCACATTGAAACCACCCAGTCATTGCAGTTCAGTCCTTCAAAAGGCCCATTTGAGGGAATATTAGAAGAATGGGCAAAAAAACTAACAATGACACAAAAAATCCTAGAAAAATGGGTTCTGTGTCAGCAGTAAGTATTTTAACACAAACCCTAAAATGCTTACCTTTTTTGTAGTGAGTCTTAGTTAAATTTATTATACTTTATTTTACACCCTTTCCAAAAGACTTTACAATTTTTCTGTGATAATGGAAACATTTTGGTTTTTGGAAGTTGCACATTTATCTCAGTAAATAACTTTTGCAGCCCTATAATAATAGGAACTATTATTTGTTCACTTTTTATATGGGGTTTTCTGACCAAAGAATATATATTTGTTTGTACAAACCCTGTATTAAATGTAAACATGTAAATTAATTGCAGAAGGGTTGTTGGGTGTTGTGGATACGAGGTCAGAACCTCTTTACAATATTTTTTTCCAAATACTCAAAAGTCAAAAGGCTTTTACCCAGATGCCAGAAATGCTTGAGTGGCAAATATGAATCAGATACTCTAAGGCCCGATTCCCTCGGAGGTAATTTGTATGAGAGACTCTTATGCAATACTGGTATGAGATACAAAAAATATCCAGGCGACTCTCCTGGAGACTAGATTCAGTCGCCTCTCCTCCATTTCCTTTAAGCTGTAGCTCTTTGGCATTTAATAAGACAAAAAAACAAATAAAAGAGTGATGTGGGTTCACCCACATTTTGCCACACATTTTCTTTTTTAACTTTATCTGCATAATTGTGGTCATTATTGTTCCAAATCGTAGATATGTTTGAACTAATGAAATTCGTTTGTCATTATCAAAAATATCACTTTTATCCATTTTTTTAAAGTTTCAATATGGTATGAACTATATGAATGACATATATATATTATACAGGGTGGGCGACCAAGAACCGAGGGGTTAACTGCCTGGGTAGACTCGTACCCCATCCCTAAAAGGTCCGGGACTTGGTTGGCTCACGTGTCCTGCATAAACCTCTTGGACTTGTTCACAAACACCAAGATTTTGGACCATTTTATCTCGGGGAGTGATTTGGTGATGTCCTCTCCTTCAAAGATTTCAAATCTAGACCTAGCATAGTAGGTCACTGCGAGGTAGTGCCTTGCCGTTTCTTCTTTTATTTCGCAAAAACGGCAAAAGGGATCTGATAGGATACCCATTACGAAGAGGTGTCTTCTCAGTGGGCAGTGGCCCTGTCAGAATACCTATCAGCCTCCTAATTCCCTTCCTTGAGATAGAGAATAGCCATTTCGATTCTGCTGGTTTGATCGGCTTAACAAACTCTTTCGATTGCCTGTGTCCGGGGGATAAATTCCACTCCCTAAGGAATTGTTTCATGCCCCAGTTATTGATACTCTCTTTCGCTGTGCTCATAGAGTGAGGTAATACCAGTTGTGGCCCGACAAATGCAGTATTAGAACCTTCTTTGGCTAGGCCATCCGCCTTTTCATTGCCATGGTGTCCTTTATGTGCTGGTATCCAAATAAGGGTCACCTTATTCTCAAACCTGAAAGAGATCCTATTGATAAGATCTATAGTTTCCTCCACCAGTCGTGAGGTTGACAAATCTTTTTGTAATGCCCTAAGACTAGCCTGACTGTCAGAAAAGATTTTAATATTTTTTAATATATGAATGACATGCTCGAGATATTGGTCATGTGCCAGCCTCTCCGTCTAAATGACATATCTGTCACTACATAACATCAGACTCCTCGATACCGATCTCTCACTGAATACCTCTATATGAACCGAGCCTAACCATTCGGCCAGTGTGATTCTCAAGTAATCCTGTATAATGCATTGATTTTTATACTGGGTGTCTGTTTTGCTGATATCGGACACAGCTAATAACAAAATTTCAGAGGATTAGTTACAAATGAGATTTTTTTTGCAATAGAATATAACTAAATATAACTTTAGCTTATAACTAATAATATAACTGTTTCTAGGAACTTCATGTATTTGTATCCAATTTTCACAAGTGTCGACATCTCGACTCAATTAGTACACGAAAGCAAAAAATTTGCCAATGTTTTAAGAATGTGGCGTAAGCTCATGACGGATTTTCGAGCCAACCCGCAAGTCATGAATGCGTGCTGTGACCATAAAGTGCATGATTTAATTGGCAATTGCATCAGAGCAATGAATCTAATTTTGAGTGGTTTGAACCAATACTTGCACATAAAGAGGAATGGCTTCCCCAGGTTTTATTTCCTCAGCGACGAGGAACTTGTCGAGATTCTATCAAAGTGTAGTGATCCTCTAGCAGTACAGCCGCATCTCAAGAAATGCTTTGAAAATATATATTCTCTCAGTTTTGACAGTAAAAACAACATCACCGCAATGTTTTCAGGAGAGGACGAGGAAGTAAAACTGAAATATGAGCTCAAACCTACTGGATCTGTCGACAACTGGCTCAGCGATGTAAATCCTTCTGATCCCAACTTTAAAAATTAGTTTTATTAACAAACACATTTCTTTTAGGTGGAGAGACTAATGAGGGAAACAATTCAAACAAGAATTATTGGTGCACTTAATGCCTTTACACAAAAGAAAGTCAAAAGCGATAGAAACTCGTGGGTTTTAAATTGGCCAGGGCAGGTGATAATTGTTTCTTCGCAAATAATTTGGACAAACAATGTGGAAATCTGCATAACAAAAGGAAATCTACATTCATACTATGTTACACAGCTTGGATATGTACATATATGTGATTGCTAAATTGAAGCAGTGTTAAATACTTACACATTTATATTTTCAGCTGGATAATCTAAGATCTCTTATAAGAGGTGAACTCACAAAATTGCAAAGACTGAGTGTTTCAGCTCTTATTGTTATTGACGTTCATGCTCGAGATGTAACAGAAATGTTGCTTAAGAAGATCATATTGGATGTGCATGAATTCGATTGGTCTAAGCAGCTAAGGTACTGTAAATAAAGATTTTCTCAAATTCCAATGTTCATGTGATTTTCCTGATGATAGGTTCTACTTCATACAAAATACTGTAGCGCTCAGAGCAATAAATGCAGAATTTCCATATGGATATGAATACTTGGGTAATACAGGCAGACTAGTCATAACACCTTTAACAGACAGGTGTTACTTAACACTTATTGGTGCACTTCACCTGAAATTCGGTGGGGCACCTGCTGGCCCTGCTGGCACCGGAAAAACTGAAACAACAAAAGATTTAGCCAAAGCTTTTGCCGTCCAGTGTGTCGTTTTCAACTGCTCAGATCAGCTGAATTTCATGGCAATGGGGAAATTCTTCAAAGGCCTTGCAACGTACTGTTTCTATAATGGAATAAATTGAACTAAGAATTATTGTTTTTATTTTTTCAGGTGTGGTGCTTGGGCATGTTTCGATGAATTTAATAGAATCGATATTGAAGTGCTTTCTGTTGTGGCGCAGCAAATCACAACTATTCAAAGAGCCCAAATGGCCAGACAAGAAACTTTCATTTTTGAAGGTGAAGAAATCAGCTTGAAGCCTTCATGTGCTGTTTTTGTCACGATGAATCCCGGATATGCAGGAAGAACAGAACTGCCTGATAATTTGAAAGCATTGTTTAGACCAGTAGCAATGATGGTGCCTGATTATACTTTGATTGCGGAAATTTCCCTATTCTCTTTTGGGTTCACAGAAGCAAGGTTGCTTGCAGCAAAGATAACTTCAACTTTCAAACTTAGCTCTGAACAGCTTAGCACTCAGGTATACGCCACATTTGATATATTACTATTCCAGTGCAAACCTTTTTATCTTATCCGAATTTAAAATTATAGGATCATTATGATTTTGGAATGAGAGCCGTTAAAACTGTAATAGCTGTGGCTGGAAATTTGAAAAAAGAGGATCCTCAATTCAATGAGACTCTTATCGTTCTGAGGGCACTGAAGGATGTGAACATACCGAAGTTCTTGTCCGATGATTTAAAACTTTTCACGAACATTTTATCGGACCTGTTCCCCAATGTTGTTGATCCTCCGATAGACTATGGGGTATTCCAGAAAACAATCGAACACATACTGGATTCTATGATACTTTACAAGAGCCCACGTAATTAATTTAAATTTTACCTATGCCACGACTAGTCAAAATATGATCATTGTGATCTTAGAAACTTAACACTTAGGAAGCATAGTGCAAAGCATTTAGTTTATTAAATGCTTTGGCCACAATGAAAATATCATGATATGAAAATATTATGACTGTATTAGTTATTGTAACCAGAAAAAATATAATTTTACATTACATTTAATTAAGGTTTTTTGTTGAGATAAAAAAGTCAATGGCACGAGCGGGATTCAAACCCACGACATCTCAACTAAAAACCTTAATTAATTGTCATGTATTTTGGTTGTTATTAATTGGTCAAGCGGACCATGAAATTAGTGAATTTAATTATTAAAAATGAAGTATACTTCACTAAAGCTCTCCGTGGCCATCATTTGTCGTCGAGAATCCATTCCGATTACACGACATTTGAAAAATGGCAAAAAGGAGGGAAAATTAAAAAGGTGTGGTTGAGATGGGAAGTTGATGTCCGAGTAGATCGAGGTCACGATAGCTCAAGTGGTAGAGCAGCGGCGTATCAAGCCGAAGATCATGGGTTCGAATCCCGCTCTTGACACTGGCTTATTTATCTCAACTAAAAACCTTAATTAATTGTAATTTTTTCCTATAACCTACACTTTAAAATATTGTAATAATTGATATGTTACCTAGTCATAAGTGTCTATTCAACATGTAAAATATTTGTTCATTGTGCTTCTTTTTCCTAAATAACGTTATAATAAATAACGTTTTTAAAAAATAAGAATATAAAGTACTTAAAGAATAATATTCAATTAATTAAGGTTTTAAGTTGAGATATATTGACCTTCGGCCGAACGTCGTGGGTTCGAATCCCGCTCGTGCCATTGATTTTTTTATCTCAACTGAAAACCTTAATTAATTGTAAGATATTAATTGGTCAAGCGGACCATGAAACTAGTGAATTTAATAAGTTTAAAAAGAAGTATACTTCACTAAAGCTCTCCGTGGCCATTTCATTTGTCGCCGAGAATCAAATTGATTACACGACATTTGAAAAATGGCAAAAAGGAGGAAAATTCAAAAGGTGTGGTTGAGATGGGAAGTTGGTGTCCGAGTGGATCGAGGTCACGATAACTCATGTGGTAGAGCAGCGGCGTATCAAGCCGAAGATCGTGGGTTCGAATCCCACTCGTGCCATTGAAGTTTTTATCTCAACTAAAAACCTTAATTAATTGTAATATATTAATTGGTCAAGCAGACCACGAAATTAGTGAATTTTACATTACCTGGGAATTTAAGATTTTGTACTTTGTTACACATTTTTATAATCTAATTATTATAATTTATACACAATGTTAAACAATATGACATTAAATACTTGTTTTTACAGAATATATTATAAAAGTTATTCAACTTTATGACACAACTGTGGTGAGGCATGGGTTAATGCTAGTTGGCCCTGCTGGAACTGGAAAGACCAGGGTATGTTCTTCATCAATATTGCTACTTTATTTTTATTAATATTTAAATCTAATTTGCAGTGCTACAGAGTTTTACAATCAGTCATGGGAAAATTAAAAGGTACGAATTCTCATTCCGGTGGGACATTCCAAAATGTAGAAGTGTCCATTATAAATCCAAAAGCGATTAACATGGGTCAGATATACGGCGAGTATGACCTGCAGAACCATGAATGGTCCGATGGCGTTCTAGCAAAGTTCATGCGAGAAGGTGCAGCAGCTGCAGATGAAATAAAGCGTTGGTATATGTTTGACGGACCTGTCGACGCAGTATGGATTGAAAATATGAACACATTGCTTGATGACAACAAGAAACTTTGTCTGACAAGTGGTGAAATCATTAAAATGACCGATAAGATGACCATGATGTTCGAAGTGTCCGATCTCTCGGTAGCTTCTCCAGCCACTGTATCTAGGTGCGGCATGGTCTACTTGGAACCGTCGATGATCACGTTAGACATGCTTATAAATTGCTGGTCAAAATCTATTCCCAAAGATGCTTCTCATATTTCTATTTCGTTGGACTTAGCTATTAGGCGTTATATGCTACCGGCTATAAGCTTTCTTCGATCCAATTTACATGAAATCGTTAAATCAACAGATTGTGGGTTGATGTCCTCAGCATTAAAACTAATTGGGTACTTTTTAAGGCCCTTTGCACCAGAACAGGGAAAAATGCCACCAGCAGATAAAGTTCAAGTTCATTTAAGTAAGTACTGTGTAGTTGTTAACTCCTTACGGATATTTATTGTTCATTTTATTTTCAGAGAAATTAGCAACTATGTGGGTAATATGGTCCACAATTTGGTCTATTGGAGCAACATGTAATCTAAACGAAAGGGAAAAGTTTTCTGTACTTATGAACAAACTGATTCATAAAAATGATAAAGAATTAAAATTTCCTAAATTCTTTGTTTATGACTATTGGTAAGTAAAATAAAATTTATAAGTTATTCCAACAAAATTTCAAATACAATTAACCAAATTATTTATTCTAGGATACATGATGGAGGATTTTCAATGTTGACAGATTCTGGAGATTTAGAGAAACCAAGATGGATGCATTGGCTGGCTAATGTACCATTATATGAAATCCCACCAGCCTCTCGTTTTATAGGTACTACCGAACTTTCCTTTAAAATTAAAACAAAAATTTACTAACAAATTATTTAAAGATATTGAGGTTCCAACTATCGACAGCATTAGAAATGCTACAGTTTTGGGAAAACTAATTGAGAATAATCAACACGTGCTTGTTATTGGTCCAACTGGATCAGGAAAAACTATTACGATACTTTCAAAAATTAACAGAAACATGCCTGAACAGTTTGTCAGTGATTTTATGACATTTACGGCTAAAACATCATTAAATCAAACTAGGGTAATAATTTACCGATAATAAAATAATGTGTAACTCATGAAAGTTTTTTATTCAAGGATACGATTGAATCCAAATTGGAAAAAAGGAAAAAATTAGTCTTAGGACCGCCAGTCGGCAAGAAAGGGATTTTGTTTATTGATGACTTTAATATGCCAGCTATTGAAAAATTTGGCGCCCAACCACCTCTTGAATTAATAAGGCAATACATGGACTTTGGGGGTTGGTATGACACCAAGATTGTCGGCGCTTTTAAACATGTGGATGACATGTGCCTTATTGGAGCGATGGGACCACCAGGCGGTGGAAGGAACAAAATCAGCGAACGGCTGGTTAGACATTTCCATCTCCTTGCCTACCCAGAATTCAGCCATAACTGCCGAGTAAGTATGATAAATGTGCTCAAAATTAATGCACTTCTAACTTATCAATTTTCAAGAAAATCATATTTGGGACAATACTGAATTATTGGATGGCAAATATGCGTGGATTTTTAAAAGTCGGCGAAAAGATTTTGGATATGACTTTAAAGCTCTACAATGTCATTGAGAAAGAGCTGCTTCCCACTCCAAAGAAAACGCACTATACCTATAACCTAAGAGATTTAAGCAGAGTTTTCCAGGGAATTTTACTTGCAAATTCTGATGATATAAAAGTAACAATATATATTTAATATTTTGAAACATTATGAAATATAAACGATACTAATAAAAAATGTATTCTTAGACTATTGAAGAATTGCTGGTACTTTGGATTCATGAGTGCACTAGAGTTTTTTCAGATAGATTAATCAATAATGAAGATAAACAATGGTTTAAAAAGAAAATTAGACATGAAATAGACGAAGCTTTCCAAATGGATTACAATTTTCTAACCACTCACGATCCCATCTTATTTGGAGATTTCATGAGCTTTTTAGACACAAGCAATTATGTTCAAATAACAGATTTTGAGAAGGTATTTGAAAAATATAAATTTCACAACCAGTAAATATTAAATGATTTGCTTTTTAGCTTTCGTCAGTCATGAATTCGTATTTACAATCATACAATAAGACATCCACAGCACCAATGTCACTAGTGTTATTTATGGATGCAATTGAACATGTGTGTCGCATTGTCAGAATAATCAAACAACCTCAGACAAACGGCCTACTCTTAGGAATCGGAGGATCAGGTATTGTAAATTGATATTTCCCGTGTGGCAAAAAAGTTGATTTTGAATATTTACAGGCCGACGGAGCTTAACGAAACTCTCAGCCTTCATGACTGACCACACATGCGTGACTGTTGAACCAACCAGAAGTTACGGAGTCGCAGAGTGGAGAGATGACTTGAAGAAAATGATGTACTATTCTGGCGTCAACAACAGGGAGACTGTGTTTTTGTTTTCAGACTCACAGGTGATTTTTGACTGTGTCCTATTAAGATTTGATTTTTTAGCCGTCCCATACAGTTACAGTTTGTAAATCCATATAGGGCACTAGACAAGCTGTGTAAACTATTTTGTTGTTATGAACTGTTAGTCTTGAATGTAAATCTAACAGTTTTACCTTTAGTTCAATTCTGCCACTTCGAGCCCACATCAGATATGTGGATTTCATATAAACTTTTTGCCTATATTCAGTCCTAAGTATCTGATGCAATATGCCGCAGGAAGTGTAATTTGATTCAGTTTAAACGAGGGAATAATTGGGATTTGTTTTCATTTATTTTTATTCTCCATTTACCGAACCATGGTTCTTGATGGTAGTCTTGGAAAGATTATACTGCTAGGATAGGTTTGCTTCATCAACAAAAGTAAGGTTAAGGTGTTGAAGTGTTGAGGGAAGAATCATGTATATGCTGAAAAGTAATGTGCCAAGGATGCTCCCTCGAGAAACATCAGAGAGGAATGGTTTGAAGACATTGAAGTTCTGTAAGTAACATGGAAGAAATTATCATAGAGGCAGAAATTTAGGATGAGATAGTATGTACTCGAAAAGAAATGGTTTTAAAAAAGTAGTAAACCCTGTGAGATGTCTAGAAAGACTCCAGGGCAGAATAGCCTACGCTCCAGGGATGTGATGATGTCTACAACTCGATGAATTTAGTGGATTTTGGACAGATAATTTCAGAAACCAAATTGGTCAGGAGTAATGTTGGTTGTGAATAGGATTTCATGCAGGTGGAATAGGAGTAGCTTCCAAAACACTTTCCCAAAGATAAATAAGGATAGCACTAGGAAACATCAGTTGGTTTGTTCGGCTTGTGGATTATGCAGATGGAAGAGAATTTCCATACAGTAGGGGAGTGTGTGATAGTAGTAATTAGTACACTTGTCTTGCTGGAAAGCGGAAGTAGAATTTTGGAAGTTATTCCAAAAACAGGATTCTTCTGGGAAGGTTGAGGATGAACGTTTTTATTTAACCAAACATGAAGGATTTCGATGATAAGAGCAAAGAGGGAGGGATGTCAAATGGTACCAGTACGTGGTTAGTGTGTTGTGGATTATGTTTGTTGGGCTGTGAAATGAATATAGTTACTATGTGTCTGGTGAATAGATGAAAAATATTGCTATCAGTTTTGGCCCAGGTGTTTAAGAGAATTGGAGGTGTTCTGTTTTTGATTATCGATGTTTAACATAAAATAATTTATGCCTTTTTTTATACTATGGCATGTTTGGTGACGACAAAATAATTATTTTATCAGATTTTTTTTTAAATTAATTTATTTATTTTTGTAGATTATACATGAATCATTCTTGGAAGATATCAATAGTATGCTGAACACTGGCGATGTACCAAATATTTATCTCCCAGAGGATCTAGACAAGATTTATGCAGCAATGAGAAATGTAGTCATCGATTCAGGGCTGGCAGTGACGAAGGCGAATCTGTTCAGCCACTATTTGAAAAGTGCAAGAACCAATCTTCATATAATATTCACTATGAGGTTACTTATATAATTACACTTGTATTCCACAGCATATTATTTTTTGATTTATTTTTTCCAGTCCAATTGGGGAAAATTTTAGATCCAGGCTGAGGCAGTTCCCCGCACTAATTAACTGCTGCACAATCGACTGGTTTAACTTGTGGCCTGATACAGCTCTGGAGGTAAATTTTCTCTTCTATCATACATGCAATTCAATTTAATCTTATTTTTAATTTATAGACTGTAGCCGCACAGTATGTAAAGACGTGTGGTTATTTTACAAACGAATCGAATGAACTTATTGATGGAGTTGTGCACTCTTGCAAATTTATCCATTTAAGTGTAGTCAAGATGGCTGATCTGTTTTTTGAGGTAAAAACCTATGCCAAAAACGTTCATGCTTCCAAGTTTTCAAATTTTTGTATAAAACTTACTTTTAGGAATATGGCCGTCGCACATACATCTCACCTACAAAATATCTTATTCTTTTACACACGTATGTCAATTTGATGTTTAAAACTAGAAACAGTGATGAAGAACTCTTAGGACGCTATCATACTGGTATTTTTTGAAAAAATTTATTTTTTAACAAAAGGAAAGAGCTTATGTCAAATTTTTTGATCAGGTCTTGAAAAACTATTAATTAGTGCTGAAGAAGTAAATGAATTGAGAGAGGCCATAAAAGACATGCAACCTGTACTGAAAGAGTCTAGAAGAAGAGCAATGGAAGTCGCAGAAAAAATTGATAATGACAGAGTAAGATTTCTAATTAATTTTATTTGGAAAGAGAAAATTATACACAATTTTAATTAAATAGATGGAAGCTGAAAAGACAAAAGTAATTGTAGCAGAAGAAGAAGCTAAGGCTCAAGTAGCACAAGAGGAGACAACACAATATGCAGCAGAAACAGAAAAAGATTTGGAGAAAGCAATGCCGACTCTGAGAAAAGCTGAAGCAGCCTTAATGTCTATAAATAAGAAAGACATAACTGAGGTCAAGGCGATGAAAAGACCACCTGCTCCAGTTGTGCTCGTCATGGAAGTTTTGTGCCTTATTAAGAACATACCTCCAAATAAAGTAAGCAATGTAGCTTTCTATTAAAAAGATTTCCTGTCATATAGTATAACATCCAACTACCCATTGGGTGTCCAAACCATTTTACAATACTTCTTTCATATGAATCTCAATTAAAAAGCCATTGACAATGCCAGGATTCAAACCCAGAACTGCTAACATGGCAAATTCAAGTCACAAGCCCTATCCACCCTATCACTGCAATCCCCTAGAATATTTTAATCACAGATATATTTTTACAGATTCCTGGGAAACTACCTGGTGAAAGGGTATGGGATTATTGGGAGCCTGCAAGAAATATGCTCAGTGATCCTGGACTTTTCCTCAAGTCTTTGCTTGAATTTGACAGGGATTCTATGACTGAAGAAACTATTAAAAAGATTGAGCCTTATATTAAAAATCCTAAATTCACGGCAAAAAATATCAAAGCGGTAAGCTTTTAAATTTATTGATGTTTTGATATAGTGGAAAGGCGTATTAAAATATTTTTGTCCAGGCATCCATTGCTTGCAAGTCATTATTCACATGGATAAGTGCGATCTACGATTACTATTTTATTAACAAGACAGTTGCGCCTAAACGTGCTGCTTACAACGAGGCAAAGAATAAACTTGAAGAATGTCAAAGAGCACTTGAAAGATCAAGATTCAGAATGAAAAAAGTTATGGACGGACTTGTTGAGCTGGAAGCAAGGCTTGCCAAAACACAAGCACGGGTACAGACTCTCGAAGAGAACGAACAAAACGGTATCATGAAGCTAGAGCTAGCAGAGGAGCTTCTCGTCAGCTTGGACGATGAAAAGAAAAGATGGATCGAAAATGCATCACAGATAACAAGCTCCGCACTTACTCAAATAGGAAATTTACTAATTTGTGCTGCCACAGTCGCATATTTCGGACCATTCAGTGACGATTATAGAAGAGCATTGCAGATAGAATGGACACGAACATTGACAGCTTTAAAAGTCCCTAATGACTCTGATCTTGAGCCTGTTCACATACTAAGCAATCCTCTTGAAATAAGAAGATGGCAGTTGTCAGGTTTGCCTAAAGATTTTTCATCCACTGAAAATGCAATTCTAAGTAGTTCTTCTTTACGCTTTCCACTTTTTATTGATCCAACTGGGCAAGCAAATAAATGGATAAAAGGAACAGTAAGTTTTAAAATTAGCGTTATCATTCACATGCTAACCTTTTTTTTTATTTAAAGCTCAGAGAAACGAGGTTAATAGTTCAAAAATTTGGAACAAAAGAATTAATGAGAGAACTGGAGGGTGCGATATCTTTTGGAAGGACAATTCTAATTGAAAACATTGGGCTTGATATCGACCCAATACTGGATCCTATCCTTAACAAACAAATTTTCCCATATCGTGGCAATGATTGTGTCAAATTTGGTGAAAATATTATCCCGTTTAATGACAGGTTTATGATTTATTTCACTACAAGACTGAGGAACCCGACATACTCGCCTGAAATCTGCTCCAAAGTTAACATCATAAATTTCACACTGTCCATAGGGTAAAAAATTTACGACAAACAAAAATAACAAAAATTTTAAATAATGTGTGTTTCAGAGGATTGGAGGACCAGCTTCTCAGTTTGGTGGTTTCGTGCAAGAGGCCTGATCTTGAAGAACAAAAGAGTCGCCTGGTCGAATCGACAGCAGAAATGAAAATTGAGATAAAGAACCTTGAAGACAAGATTTTAAATCTGATCAGTTCCGCCACTGGTTCCCCTCTCGATGATCTCAACTTAATTGAAGCATTAAAACAGTCAAAGGAAAAAAGTGAAAACATAAGGGTATAGAAGAACAGATTTTTTTTCTATTGAACAGAAAAAGTATGGAAGAAATAGTGGTGAAAGTTTCTCGGTTTGATTCAGTGAAATTTGTGACTGTGTTTAGTGAACATTCATTTCTTAAACATGAACATTTAAGTGTGTAATTTTTTGCCATACAGATGTCAAAATCATATAAAAAACTCTGATATAGGTTTAAACAATATCTTTGGGAAGTGGTCGAACTTTTAAAAATCCACACATATCTGCTATCCATTAATCAATATTGTTCCAAATATAATTCAGTTGAATTCTGGGTATGCCAGGAGGTGGATTTCTGACAGTCATAGAAAAGATAAAAGATGAATGATGGAGTGAATGCGGTGTTCAATCCTTTTTTTTTAAAAAAGATAGTTCCTACTCACAGTAAGTTTTTTTCCAACAAATCCGGATTTCAAGCACTTAGCTCATCATCAGGTTGAAGGATTTCTACAACCACGTACAAAAAGTCACTTTTGCAATTCATGTCGAGAGACATGGTTGTAGAAATCTTTCAACCTGATGATGAGCTCAAAATCCGGATCGTTGGAAAACAACTTATTGTGAGTAGGAACTATCTTTTTTAAAAAAGGATTCTGATCAGTCTTTCACTGATTTTCCTTCCACCGCATGGTGGTCCCACCGTTCCAGTAATGCACATGTCCTCCACATACTTAAATGTGCCAGCAATCTTTGTGTCATACCAACCTCCAAAGTCCATGTATTGCCTTCTTGATTCAAGAGGTTGGTTCAGCGCCAAATTTTTCATCAGCTGGCATTTTTTTTTTTTTTTTTTTTTTTGGGGGGGGGTTTTACACTGGCATATTACCCATGAAGTTTTCTATTTTCATTTTACTGTCGAGCGTGATCGGCCAACCAGGGCCAGGTCCCCGCCGCGCGCCCACACCACTCATTCAGCTCCATCATCTTCTCATCTTCTAAATTTTCATGGTTGAAGATAATCAAAAAGAAACCTTTATCGACTTTAGAAATCCATAGATTATGTTGAAAGCTGATGGATTGTTGCTTATTAGGACAGATTCTAAGTTTATTGGTTTGGAAATTTTTGGGACTTTGCTCAGATTTTTTAGCAGTTTGTCTCTTTCATTTTCATATTCTGGACATTCAAAAATTATGTGGGAAGGATTTGAAGGGCAATCACAAGTGGGACAGTTCGGAGACGATGCCAAACCGATTCTCTTCTTGTAGCTACCCCATAGGCCATGATTTGTCTTCAGTCTAGAAATAGTAGAATAGAACTCCTTTGACATTCCTTCTGGGCTATCACCTTCCGAAAACCATGGTTGTTTCTTGAGCTCAGGAAACAGTGACCTGTAATAATTGCCAACTTTGATGCGTTGTATTTTTCTTGCCACAGATTTCTACAAAACTTTTCCAAAAAGTTTTTCCCGTCATCTTTAGGAATTTTAATGTCAAGGGTTGGACCTGATGTTGCAGCCTCCTTTGCAAGTGCGTCAACCATTTCATATTGCCACAAGCCTGCATGCCCTTTCACCCAACACAATGCAACCCTTTTTCCCATGATTTTTGTCTCAAGCATTTTCCTATAGATTTGGGCAAAAATATAGTTTCTGCATTTATATTCTGGGGTAATGTTATTTATCCTTTCTACAATGCTTCAACAGTCTGTGAGGATACAAAATTAAGAATCGCCCAATTTTCGTATGTAATCGAGAGCGCTATCTATCGCAATTAGTTCTGCTGTATAAACAGACATTGAAGTTGGAAGCGAATGTTGTTCCTTGTATTGATATTAAATTATTATTGGCTGGCATATTAAAGTCACCAATAAACAAAATCCCTTTCTTGCCGATTGGCAGTCCCAACACTAACTTTTCTTTTTTTTTCCATTTAGTCATATTCTTTAATCCAAATAACTCATACTGATCATTTTATGTTTTGAAAAGCTGTTTACAAATATTTCTGTCAAGATTAAGAAGTGGTGTTACTTGCTTGTTTTTACTTTAGCCAATACTGTGGCATTTCTAGCAATAATTACTATGACCTCAACATTGTGAAACTTTAATGTGTATTATTTTTATAATATTTACAAGAATACCATGAAGCAAAACTGAATTTTGTTGTGAATAATGATGTAAAGTTTTTTGTGCTGTAAATGTGATAATTGTCTCAATGGACATTATATGAAAGGAAGATTTGTAAGCTGAATCTCATCTGCAATATCTTTAGACATTTGAAATATCCAACTAAAAACTGAGCCCAACAAACATAAATAATTGTTACCATACTACTTTTGAAAAATTGATTTTTAGGAAAAAGTTGATGTTGCTTCAAAAACTGCAAAATCAATTGATGAAACCAGAATCGGTTATGCTCCAGTTGCTAGGAGAGCGCAGATTCTTTATTTCTGTCTCGCTGACATGGCTAAAGTGGATCCAATGTACCAATACAGTTTAGATTGGTTCACGAACATATTTACTCTCAGCCTGACACAAACAGAAAAATCGAGTAAGAAATGTTTAAAAAAATTTAATTACAGTGACTACTACTTTACTAATTTTTACAGCAAACTCTGAGGAGAGAAATATAAGTGTAAACAACCACTTTACTTATTCCTTATTCATGAATGTCAGCAGAAGCTTGTTTGAGAAAAATCGTTTGCAATTTACGTTTTTGATTTGCATAAGGATAATGATTGAAAAGAAGCAGATTACCAAAGAAGAATTTGAATTTTTCTTGACTGGTGGCAAACCGAAAAAGGTTAGCAGGTTGTTAAAAACTGTTGAGCTATTTTTGTAAATTATTCAATTCTTGTTGTAGACAATACCAGCTCCTTCAGGGTTTCCTGAACAAAGATGGATGGAAATTCTCGGCTTGGAGACTTTACCACAGTTTGAAGTCCTTATTAACACTATTGTGGCAAACAGTGATGAATGGAAATTCTTGATTGACGATCCTAATCCTTACAAGTATGTTGAAAAAGAAAATTTTGTAATGCGATGACTTATTTAACTTTTTTTCAGGCAACACTTCCCTATGAGCTTTCATCTCAAGCTGTCTGTCTTTCAAAGGCTTATGCTGATACGTTTTGCCAGGCCCGATAAGCTCATCGACAGTATCCAGGATTACATATCAAGCCATATCGGCACAAAATACATAGAGCCTTTACCCAAAAATGTAGCAAGTCTTTATACAGACTCTACACCTCTCACGCCTCTTCTATTTGTCCTTTCCCCTGGTACCGATCCGGCTGCAGATTTTCTAAGCTTTGCTGAAAAGGTATTTCAGCTTTTTTATATTGAATGAATTGTTAAATTACATATATGGATTTTGTTTAAAGCAAAGTATGGTGAAGAAAGTTATGGCAATATCCCTAGGCCAGGGTCAAGGACCAATAGCAGAAGAAATGTTCAATAAGGCAGTGCAAATTGGAGGTTGGATATTTTTCCAGGTAATTATAATAAAACTAATATATTTATTATTGATTTTATTCTATTATTAAATGTGTTTAATTTACTTTTTAGAATTGCCATTTGGCACCGAGCTGGATGCCAAGACTAGAGCAGCTCATTGAAGGGTTACCATTTGATTTTGTTCATAAGGATTTCAGGATCTGGCTAACTTCTACACCATCTGAATACTTCCCGAGTTCAATTTTAGAAAATGGCAACAAAATGACCATAGAGCCACCAAGAGGTGTTAAGGTAGAAAACAAAATTTGATAATTTAAAAAAAAAATCTAATAAAATGTTGTTTAAGGCAAACCTGCTCCGTGCTTATACTGGACATGTAATGGAATACCAAGACTTCATCAATTCAGAAGAACCTAAAGCACCTATTTTCAAAGGCTTATTATTTGCACTGTGTCTCTTTCATGCTATTGTTCTTGAGCGGAGAAAATTTGGTCCTTTAGGTTTCAACATCCCGTACGAATTTACTGATGGTGACCTTAGAATCTCCATCAACCAGCTTCATATGTTTGTAATGGAATATGAAAGCATACCGTACAAAGTAAGCACATTATTTTCCAGTATTTTTTTAAAATATTATTTTACAACCATTTTTCTTGACTGTTAGGTCTTATCCCACACCGCGGGTGATATTAACTATGGAGGGAGAGTAACTGATGATTGGGACAGAAGGTGCATTAGATGTCTCCTTTCTGAATTTTACAACCCTAAAACACAGACTGAAAACTACATGTTTGATTTGTTTGCCTACTACTACCAAGTAAGTATTTTTCTCATTTTACCAATAATACCATCCCATTCCTCAGGATCATTTTTAGTGATTTAATGTGTAACGTACTCCCAAAATTTCTTCAGAAAGTGTAATCTTTTATACTTGAAATGTTTCAACTTACAATGAATATACATAACAATTACTTTTCTGTAGCGTTTCTTTCTTTTGTTTCATAACGTTTGAGAGTTAAAGTCATAAATACAAATACAAACCGTTTCATCAATTCAACTAACACGTTTTGTTTTTTCAGCTTCCTTTCAATTCTCAATTGAGCAATTATATGGCTTACATTAAGGAATTGCCTATAAATGATGAAACGACACTTTTTGGTTTGCATTCCAATGCAAATATTTCCTATTCACAAGGAGAAGCCAGCGAGGCGATTAAAATGCTCTTGTCATTGCAACCACAAAAGACTGGAAAGGCAGCCGCCACCCAAGATGCCAAAGTGGCTGTTATTGCCAAAGAAACCCTGTTAACAGTGCCAGGTCCATTTATGGACCTTGACAAAATCCAGGAGAAGTATCCAGTCATGTACGAAGAGTCGCTGAATACAGTCCTTTACCAGGAAATCCTCAGATACAACCGGCTCCTGTTTGTCATACAGGAATCCTGCCATGACTTGCTCAAAGCACTCGATGGTGTTGTTGTCATGTCTGAACATTTGGAAAAGATGTCGCAAAGTCTGTATCTGAACCAAGTGCCTGAAATGTGGGCAATAAAATGTTACCCATCATTAATGCCATTAGGTATGATTATAATTTCATAACTGGGGTATTTTAAGTTTTAAGTTTATAAAGTACATATAATTCAGTGGTATAATATCTAAAGAAATTCATTAATTAAACATACGTATAGTAATGAGATTGTCACTGCTTTGTAATTCCTATGAAACTGGCCTATCTTGTCTTCACAGACTTCCTCGGCATGGTTAGAATCTATGACAACAGTTCATTGTGCTCTAGATGGATAGATACTTTGAACTGGAACATCATGGCAAAAATGTAGTGTCTTTCTAGGTCCCTAGACATAGGTCTGAAGGGTAACAAAATGACAGACGTAGCAACTAAGGCCAGGATGTTCTAAGCTCTAAACCTGACCACTGCGATCTGGCCTGCAGACTAAAAATGCTATAAAAAATATAACAGGTTGGATTGGCAGAGAAGCTCAACATCAAGAACGCAGTCAATGCTTAATCATCCTAACCCCACTAAGAATAAGCCATACAAGGTTGACAAACTGGCACTTACCTCCAGGCCTAAACCCATTATGTCCAGCATGTAGAGAAAGGTTGCTGAATATATTGTTCATAATTGAAGGGTGTCATTCCTTGTCTCCATAATAGCCACCTGATAATATGAGAATTACGCTTCAGCAAGCAAGTTTTTAGGTTCCCTTTTGGGTATATTGAAAGTGAATGTATTTACTAGGGTGAGTGTGAAGTGCAACAGAGCCAATGGTGGAATATTGAATACTCCACTGCCCTAACCATAATTGGGTGAATGGTCTGTAAATACAAAGGAATGTATTTAGACATGAGTGTGAGTTTGCTTAGATTTATAAACTGATTTGTTGGGGCTGGGTCGAAATGACAGCCAGTGTCAGTCCTTGCATTTTAAATTTGGTGGTGGAACAGATAAGACCCTGAGGTTTGACCCCAGACTGCCAACACCTGAAAGTGGATATTTCTCTCAGCCTACAAGTAATTTGTTGTAAATTACACATAGTGGGAATCACCAGCATGCTATGAGTAGTCTTAGGTTCAATTGTCTGTACTACATGTGTAGAATTGAGCATATAATTATAAAGCAGTAATTAATTATCATTATCACTTAAACTGAGTATATAAATAGCAGTGTGGCAGTTATTGTAAATAACAAATTCATAGTGAGCTTACATTCCATCAAACACTGAAGCAAGAAATAGTTAGCTGAATGTTATGTCCAATTTTTTGTGCATCTATTTTATTGCGGTCTTTAATGGTATTTATTTAATATGTAAAAATATCTAACATATTTTACAGCTGCTTGGTGCAAAGATTTGAAAAAGAGAATTCGATTTTTGAAAAAATGGATTGATTCTGGTCGCCCAGCCAATTTTTGGATATCTGGTTTCTTCTTCCCACAGGCCTTCTTAACCGCTATACTCCAGAATTATGCCAGGACTCATATAGTTTCAGTTGATGCAATATCATACCTTTTTATCGTATGTTTTTGTTTTATTGTTTATATACAATTTTGAGCATTCGTCTCAACATTTTTTTTTTTTAAGTTTTTGGATGAACTGCCTCGTGAAAGGAAGGCTGATGGTTGTGTTATCTACGGCCTGTTTCTTGAAGGGGCCAGATGGATTCAGGAAAAATACAAGCTGTCGGAGTCCATGAGAAAGATTTTGTTCACAGGTAAGCGCCAATTATTAAAATTTTATTTCAATGTTTTCAGTGTAATTCGAATTTGTACAATTTTTAGAAATGAGCCCAATATGGTTGAGACCCAATGAAAACGTGATAAAAGATGTCGTACAAGTATACAACTGCCCTGTGTACAAAACTCTCAAACGAGTCGGGACATTATCGACGACAGGCCATTCGACCAACTACGTCCTTACAATAGATTTGCCCACAAAGAAGACAAATGCCCACTGGGTACTGAGAGGTGTTGCCCTTTTCTGTGCTCTTGACTACTGCTAAAAATGCAAAAAAAAACCAAGAAAAAACTTAAAAATAAAAACAATTTATTTGAAAAAAACGTACAAAAAATATTGGCACATGCTATGCATTGTTTTAATGACTCAAGTCAAAGAGAGAAGGACAAGCTCAATTTTTACAGCACAAAAGTTTTTATAAATATTTATACATTATAAACAGTTGTTTTCGAGATGAGAGGTCACTAAAATGGGCATGGTACTTCTCTCCAACTCAGGCACTGGCTGCTCCTTGGGTTGAACCTCATTCCTTGGGGGCACAGGAATGATTCTCTGCTTCCGTTTACGTGGCATAAATGAAAAACCTATAAACGACATAAATTAGAAAAAAAATTGACATTTCATAAGAGTGCTGGGGCAAAGTAACATGACATTATAAAAGTATTTTTAGATTTAGGAGCAACTTTAATGGGATGCCAATTAAAAATTTCATTGGAGATAATAAAAATTTGAGCTTCATTAAATAAAATAGGATAGTGAAAATACACCATGGGGTACATGTAAATTACATGCTGTATTATAAAAAATGGAAATTTCTACAGAAAAATCAACACATTTCTAATTTGCATCAAGTTATTTTTCTTTTTAAAAACATTCATTTCTTTGAATATTGCCAAGTGAGTTATTGAAAGCCGTGGCATAGTGAGCTTTAAAATTATGTGTGGTGATTAGTGACCATTAATTGATAATTATTCAGAAATCGTGAGATGCGGTCTAGTGTGATGTAGGTTTCAGAAAAACATTGGCACTCTCAACACGACACGCAAGAATGGCACAATTACCAGAAGACAAACACTTTGAGCCCTGAAGATGATCTCAATAAAGATCGAAACGTTGGCACAATAAAGAAAATGTTTTTCTTAAACTTACATCACACTAGACCGCATCTCACGATTTCTGAAATTATCTAAAATTATGCTTATGATAAGTTTCCAGTGATATAGTTTCAAGTACCATTCCTAGATCATAACTACATCTAGGAGTAATCCAATTAATATTGTCCTTCTCTTGTGCCCTGGGATATCTACCTGTAGTTAGAGCAGTCTTATACAGGAAAATGGTTTTAATTAATAAATGTTTTAGTGTAAGGGGTAATTTTATTCTGCGTACAGCCTTCATAGTATAAAGTTTTCAAGCTATGTCATAGATCTTGGTGGCGGTGGATTGTAGGAGGCTTTTCATCTGTGGTGGTCTTCTTGAGGTGATTTAATCTATGAAATTAGGTGATTGATCTTATTGCCGAACTGAACCGAGAATTCGGAAAGCAGAATTGTATTGATGAGCTAAACAAGTCAACTACAACTAACTCATCTTGTGCCTCCACGTACTCTATCCTGCTGATTCCTTACTTTTCTCCTGAGTCTGACTTTCTGACCCTTGGTCTCTGGTATCAGCAGTCTTACCGCATCAGGTTGCAAACCTTGGATGGCAAGACCTCGGGGAGTGTGGACCCCCTTTATCCCTCCCGATAATATGCTGGAAGAGACTTTATTTTCAGTCAGCATGCTCCATATCATAATTACAAGCTTTGATTATCAGTATATTACATACAAGAACAAGAAAAAATATTAATATATGATAGCATATCGTAGTCAATCAAAGAAACAAATAAAGCAAATATCTCAATGTTCCAACCCTCCATGAGAACTTGAAATATCATTCTCCTGGCCAGTGAAGACCTTGACCTAATAGCAGGGCAAAATTATAGTTTGGGTGTTATTTGAGCATAACACAGCATAACCATAAGATGCTGGGCTGTCTACTATGTTGAAGCAATGGATATAGACATTCATTCTACCATGACCACTGAAGAACACATGACAGTATATTATGATTTTTTTTCTGCCAAGATGTTATTAAATGGTTTTGTTTTCTTCTTCCTACAGCGTCTGCAAGTCAAGCCTTAAGAAGTATTACAATTAATTAAGGTTTTTAGTTGAGATGAAAAAAGTTAATGGCACGAGCGGGATTCGAACCCACGATCTTCGGCTAGATACGCTGCTGCTCTACCACTTGAGCTATCGTGACCTCGATCCACTCGGACATCAACTTCCTATCTCAACCCCACCTGAGTTTTCCCTCCTTTTTGCCATTTTTCGAATCCCGCTCGTGCCATTAACTTTTTTTCATCTCAACTAAAAATCTTTACTGCACTTGATTTCTGTCTCCTCTTAATTAGATCCATTTGTGATTGTCTTCCAGGCACAATTTATTTTAAAAGTAGATTTATTTATGCCTATTTCAGGCTCGGCCTACAAATTTGGTAAATATTTGATGTCTTTTTAAATGTATCAACATTAAATGTCCCTTCCAGATAATATATAAAAGGTTTCTTGTTGTAAATTAGGGTTTTGATGCAGTTATGAAATGAACATCTCTTGAGAAAACATTACACTGCAATTTTGACAAGTTTTATTACTTCAAATTTGACATTTTACCTAAAAGATCAACATGTATTTTGCCAATATGCAAATGTCAGTGCAATGAATTAAATTTGATGGACAATACTCGAAAACGTGATTTTCTGTAGCGTACAGGTTTGTTTGTAGCAAAAAATATTTATGATTTGTTACATTCTTCCACACCAACTTCCTCCTCGAACCCCGCGAAAACAGGGATCAGATAACGCTGGAGATCACCGACGGCTCTACCAGGCGCCTAACAATTATCGGAAGTGTTTTTGCAATAATTTCTCAACGGCCAAGCGAAAGCAAAACTGGCCGTGAATTAAATCATAGTTGCTTTCTATTCTTTTAAGAAATGCGTGGAAAGTGAACGTTGCGGGGCTTAGAAAAGATAAATGGGCGATCCGTACGATCCGAGGAGGCGTCACAGTTCGCCGGCTAAGGCCAAGGGTCGCAAATGTCCGATGGAGTGCAGTGAAAGTGACTACTAATTGTATGTGGGCGTGGGTAATAGCCCTTTTAAATTCCAAAACCGGCCATATCTCACTGTTATGCGCTTAATCGGACGTGTGTTGTTTATTGGCGATCATCCACGAACAGGAATGTAAAGAATACTTTGTAAACAAGGAACAGAAAGTAAACCTCGACGAGGAATAAATCGGGTTGAAAATATACACGTGGATATTGTCGGGTATATAATAATAGTAATAATGCAAACAAATTTCTTTTGGAGAATCTCAATTATTAAAAAAAATATTTTAAGAAAGATGTTATCCCAAAGATGGAACCCTACTGTACATCAATAGGATTAAACAACAAGATGCACTGAAAACCTGACGAGGAGATGAACAAGAACAAAGGTACAAGAAAATAATGAGAAGCGAGAAGTACTTAAGTATTCCGGCGTACATGCTTAAGTATACAGGCAAAAAACACGTGCGTTCCACTAACAACATGTTTCGCGATTGCGATACGCAGCAAGGGTTTTTTAGTCGGTATTGTTTTGGAGCTATGTGGCGGGTGTTGATGAGTCAGATGGATATGTAATGAGCGAGTTGAGAGTACACTGTTACTTGTGGTTGGTGTTTGTTGCTTTCTCCTTTAAGGCTCCTCTATGGGCCAACACAGGGCAATACATTGTCCGTATAGGCCATGGGTAACATGGTCTCAATGGCCTATAATAGTTGCTTACTTTTCCCGTTCCGTGATGGCTATCGAGGTCGAGGAAATCGCTGCTACAGCTTTGTGTTTGGCGAGGGTGTATAATTGCTATTTACATGTTATTGACAGAAACCTTGACAGAAACAAACAACGGCCGATCAATGTTGGCCCAGTATGTGGACACGGCACGTATGTACTGCGCACATTTTTCGCTCATATTGTCCTACTTTGATATGTCTAGTGAGACCGTTCCTAAAACCAATGTTCCCCAACACCGTTTCCACCCTTTGGCAATATGGGCCATTTACAAGCCATCCCCCTATACTCAATGACCAACTATGTTGGATCATGATGAAGAGGGGCCATTACAACTGAGATCTCGTCGACGAGTCGGCATTAGTGCCTACGAAAAAAAGCCTTAAGGCCTGATCAGTAGAGGTGCTGCAAGTTCTTTGTCCGCCTTGAAAATCGGAAACTTTGTTGAACCATTGGTGGTACCAAGTGAAATCCATTAACCACAGACAGTGACCACATAGAAAAGATAGATGGTGGAGGGAGGAGTGTGTTGTTCAATCTTTTTAGAAAGATAGTTCCTACTCAAAGCAAATTGTTTTCAACAATCATGATTTCGAGCCTACAGCTCATCATCAGGTTCAAGGAACTCTACAACGGGAGACGTGGTTGTAGAGCTTTTTCAACCTGATGATGAGCTGTAGGCTCGAAACGCGGATCGTTGAAAACAACTTGCTGTGAGTAGGAACTATCTTTTTGAAAAAAGACCACATAGTTCCCCAATAATGGAGACGACAAACGCCAATGAATAAAAGAGTGGCATGTTATTTCAACCTGGTCCCCTCCAGTCATTAATCTTCTCAAGTACATAATTACATGGGAGTCACAACTTTAATGACCAGGGTTTTGTCATTTGTGGTGGCTCTGAGAAGGGTAGGTGCTCTTTTGGATCTAGTAAGTGCCGTTGAGAGTATTTATAAGCCAGATGGATTTGATAGCCGATTTTTGTAGTTAGCGCAGGGCCTCGAACATCATCAGCCACGTGTGCGATGACTGGAGCTGTTATGAGGATGTGTTTTTTGTAGCTGGTACTTGCGGTTTGCTTCTTGAGAGTTGAGATCTCGTCGTCTACTCTATTCTTTAAGTATGTAGAGCCCCTCTTATATAGAAAGGCGCTGAAAACTAGTGGAAACATAAATTAACCACCACAGGAAGACACCACAAATGGAAGCTTTAAGAAGCGAAAATAGACGAAGCAAAAAAACAAAAAAGGTGTGTTTGGTATAATATTTGGTGCAAAATTCCGAAACCAACATATAACATACATAAATGAAAAAAAGCCGCGATGATGGTTGTGTTTGTAAAAATCAAAACCTAAAAAATTAGAAAATGAAGTTCCAAAGCTAACAAGACCATCGTCAAACTATGTAAAATCGACCAACCAAAAAACACTCCACCAGCAGTCTATTAGATAATGTAATTGACAATCCTAAAGAAAACACACTTATGAAATTAGAAACGGAGTTGAATTTCATTTTTGTAACTTACGTTTACAATATTGCCTTCTAAGATCACTTGACAAACTTTTATAACTGTTCATCGAAATTTATTATCACTGCCGACTACTCTCTCTGATCGCACAGCCAAATGTTTTTGACGACTCCCTACGTAAAGAGGAAACAATTTTGGTACGTCTAAGAGTAAGACATAGTAGGTTTACCCATGATGACAAAGGAACCTCATCCGATTTGCTCAAGCAGTCAATAATTACTAACATTCAAGCACATCCTAACGGAATGTTTTCTATTTGAGGTGCAGAAGAATACATGTATATATGGTGACATCTTGTTTGATGACAGGTACTACTTCAATTCCTAAGGGTAACTGATTTCTAGAAAACCAGGGCAATAGTAACATTTCTTTGGTAGCACTCAAATTGAGTACCACTTGCGTACTGGGTTGCCTGGCTGTCGCCAGCCGTCCGTTTCTCCTTTTTCATACCACCCTTATACCACTTTCATACCATCCCTTCAAAAGAACATTATGACCCATAGTGGTTTAAAAAAGTTGTGCTCAAGCCCTGCGCTCGATCACCAAGCATCACTTATAAACTGATCGTGACTTTGAAATTTATTTCTCTAGTTCACCTGTCTTTGCTAGTATATATATTTAACCGGGTAAAATAATAATTTAAAGAATTTTATAAGTCGCACCAGTCATTCGTATATAATTTGTCTACATATCGTAGCTTAATCGTTTTACACACTTTCAATTTTGGGCTGCCATGTGCGTCTTGCAATATTTTTTTTCCGTTTCTTATCATTTTAGTCTGTCTATTATTGCAGTTTTTCTGACCTAGGCTTAAATGAATGGATAGACAAGTTCGATCACCTAGTATAGTAGTCGTAAAATAAACTACCCAGCAGATCTCACGAAAAAATTTTCATTCTTGAACCAAACCGTTGAACCAAAAACTTAAACATACTCCAAAACATTGTTACTTTGAAGTAAAGTAAATAAACCTTAAAGCTTACAAAAACTTAATTTGCGTACCCGAAACTGTTTAATTAAATCCTTTCCAGCGATATTGAAGTGGGTATAAGTTGAGAGTTAATGCGATAGAATTTCGAAATGCGGCCGAGATAAATTCCAATATGCTAATCTTATGTTGAGCCTTCTGTTACAATGGAAAATCGGATGATCCTAGGGAAAGTTGCCGGCCTGGGTCGATCTTCCATAAAATTCCACGGAGGCCCAAATCCTTAGGTGAATTCACTTGATTTTTTCTCATTTTTATCGTTAAAGCTTAAAAATAATTTATTTGTTTAGCTATATTTGACTGTATTTAATTCAATTGATATGTCTATATTTAAAATCCTGTATCATAATTATTATTTATAAATATAAATTATGCAAAATCAGGAAACAAAGAACTGTCAATTTTTTTTATGTAAACATATTGCGGATGAATCTGNGAATGCAGGGCCGCTGGATTCGAACCCGGGACCTTTACCTTACAGTGATGAGCGCCGTGTCAACGCCTAAACCGTTGCGGCCACCGACGCCCCAAAGGGCAAATTTTACAGAGTATTTTCACGTTTTCATGTCGACTTTTTACTTCAATAAGGATTCTTTTTTTCTGTTTTATTCCTTTTAATTAAATCGACCATCTAAATATTTTCTTGCACCTTGTCGACTTCTCAGCGCTCATCATTCCCTCCGTGGATTCTCGACTGTAATTCAACCGCCCATAATATTTGCCAAGTTTCTCCTTTTAGACGATAAAACGCATTAAAACTGAAAACCGGATTCACATGCTAATTATAAACAGACGTGCAATATTTAACCGGGTATTGCATAAGGCATTAACGAAGATGTTATTCCAATAGGCAGATCGAGAAGGAATTTCGTGAAAATATAAAAATAAATTGCTGAGAAGGTTGTGTTTTTATTGCTTTAAACAATGCGTAACATCAAAAGATAAAACCTTTGTAAAATTTTGTACAGATTATCGGCCAAAAGAAGGCCCCTTGCTAAAAGCGAAGTTTTTTTTGGAGGAAATCTAAAAAGTTCAATCCGATTCCGCTTTCAATAAAAATGTTCGAACGGGTTCGAAAATGTGGCGACTTCCGTTGCGAGTTCGTAGACTAATTGACCCTCTTATAATAAATTTATGTTTTGTAACTTCCTACTTTTCTCGCTGGCCTTATGAACTCCGGCCTCGGGTGAAAGTGGCCGCCTGCTTCTTGGGCATCGCTGGGTCATCTTTCCTTTCCAAGCAAAAACATTAGATAATTAATGGATAAAATTAAAGTGGAAAGAAAACCTCAACATATTCTAACATTTGTATACGTCTGAGTCTAATTTTTCAGAATCCATGCTTGTTTGCAAAGTCTCCGACAAACCATATGGCTGTTTAGACTTCAGAGACAACTTTTTCTCTCTACTTTTCAACTCTTTATACCCTAAGAAAACCAAATGTACAAATACACTTACAGAGCAGATAAGTACGTTTCACCTTAATTTTTCTCTTACCTCGACTTCAATCTGTCAATGATGATTGATCACTGCTAAAGAGACCTTTCATGTACTCAACGCATACCTTTTCACCGGTAGTTATTAAGCAAGAATTAATCATTAAATAAGTGATCCATTAAATGCAGATCGTTTGTGTGTAAAAGTAATTAATTGTTAACTAATAATAATTTCAATCCATATTTATTAACATTAAAAATCACAAGAGTTGTTGGTCCTGTCATAGTTATGTTTCTGTGGAGACAAAGCGATTCGAATTTGATTCACATAACTTTGAAACAATGAAAAAATTAACAGGAAAAAATATAATAACTAAATAGAAAATTAACTAGGCGCTCCAAAATTTATGGAAAACAGTTCGATGCCCTAGTATGTTGCACATTTTAACCCTGATATAATCTTCCTGCTTCATTTATTTTAAGAAACAGTTAACATGTAAAAAAAGACGATAACATCCTGTGCTCTTTCTTTTCTCACACGGTTACGTGAGTTACACGGTAACAGTTCTGGGGTTAAAGACCTAAAAATCCCTATGTAATCTGTAAAACACATGTGAATAGATCGTAAAAGCGGTTGAAACAATAAAACTCAAACAATCTGGATAAAGTTATGGTCTTGATGAAAACAGGAAATTCAGTTGTTACCGCCGAGCTTTCGACCTTTTTTAAAGTCATAATCAGGGGTCCTATATTAATTTCGCATTATGAAAAACATATTTGTAGAATTTATTTAACAATCAATATAATATAATAACTATTCACTAGTTTTCGTGGTCCGCTTGACAATTAATATCATTCAATTAATTAAGGTTTTTAGTTGAGATAAAATGGCCATAAAATAGCAAAAAGGAGGGAAAATTCAAAAGGTGGGGTTGAGATGGGAAGTTAGTGTCGAGTGGATCGAACTTACGATAGCTCAAGTGGTAGAGCAGCAGCGTATCTAGCCGAAGATCGTGGGTTCGAATCCCGCTCGTGCCATTGACTTTTTTTATCTCAACTAAAAACCTTAATTAATTATAATATATTAATTGGTCAAGCAGACCACGAAATTAGTGAATTTAATGATTTGGAATGAAGTATACTTCACTAAAGCTCTCCTTGGCTATTTCATTTGTCGTCGAGAATCCAATCCGATTACACGACATTTGAAATATGGCAAAAAAAGAGGGAAAATTCAAAAGGTGCGGTTGAGATGGGAAGTTGGTGTCCGAGTGGATTGAGGTCACGATAGCTCAAGTGGTAGAGCAGCAGCGTATCTAGCCGAAGATCGTGGGTTCGAATCCCGCTCGTGACATTGACTTTTTTTATTTCAACTAAAAACCTTAATTAATTGAATAATATTTAACTTAAAAAAACAATCTTGGTTATGCCCACAGATTGTATTCAACTCAATACTACATTACAGCTCTTGGCACTGGGACTGAGACGGTCTTCAAATTTGAGATCCTTGTTAAGAAAAAAAAAAGTCAATCTGTCAATCTGTAGACATAATGAAGAATTCTGTTCCCTGATGATGACCATAAAATAGGTTATTAGCAGTAACAACTAAATTTGCTTTTTTCTTCAAGGCCATACTTTGATCTAGAGTGTTCGGGAGTGAAAAGTGGTCGATACTGAACTGAAAGTATAAAAAGAAGTACCTGGCAGCTGGCCTGAGGGTCCGGAATCATCTGATGGTGCATCAGTTTTAGAGGGCACTTGAAGCTCGTCGGAGGGATGGTCTTAAGCGTCGGGGTGCCTGTGCTCGGCCGTGGAGTCGCGTGGATGGCGTTGGCCGAGGGGAATCTCGCTTGTTCCAGTGGGGGATCTTTGACCAAATCCTTCCGGACGTTCTTCCTCGTCTGACGGAGGATCCTGTTCCCCGTGTCGTGGAAAAGAGGGCCGAAGCCGGCCCACAGCTGAAAAAACATACGTGAGGGAACATATTTGTTTTTAAAACACAGACAACGTAAACTATCGGTCTATCATTATATTTATTAAAAAAATTAACACATGCTGTCTTTGTATAACAGGATCCTTGCTGACAATGATAAAACTACGACAGATACTTTCATACCAAATATGCATGATAGAATCACTAAAAGTAAAATTATAAAAAACAAGACATTGTTTCCTCTTCCATGAATACTCCAGAGGGTTGACAATCAACTTGTCCATTTACAAATTAATAATATATCCTACCTCTACTCAGGTACTGCAATCGTGAAAATGCGCTCTTCTCTTCACTTTTAGACTGAAGTCCAAAGAAGCAGTGGGTTGTTAAAACGGAATCAATTTCGTTGTTTTTTAAATTTCCCACTCTCACTAACCCTAAAAATAATAACATAACAGCACACTGCTTCTATGAACTTAAATCTAAAAGTGAAGAGAATGGAGCTCGATGCAACTCCCTTAGTACTTGCGAAGAAATAGGGATGAGCGCAATACCAGACTCTCTGTACGTAGTTGGGGAACGAACAGCTGATCGACCTAATGTGTTAAATCTGTTCTATTTCAACATAGCTCTAGTTGTATGGGCGTTTCCCATCATTTTGGTCTGTTTGATATATATCGGCATTTCCCTATAGCTGGCTTTGTTGAAAATTTAGCAGTAATTTTGTTTATTTAAAGTAAACGTATATAACATTTTAAAGTTTGCTATAGCTTCATATTTTCCTTTTGATCATTCTATCCTCGATGTTTTGGACTGTCAGATACGTTTCGGCTTCTCGCCATCTTCATTTCTGGAACTGTATCTTTGTCTGAAGATGGCAAGAGGCCCAAACCTATCTGACAGGCCAAAACATCGAGGATAGGATGAACTAAATCGTAAACGACCAAACTACTGGTTCATCACCCCGTAAATACCATGGAGAAATCTCACAAATAGACCTAGAATAAAATATCCTTTTATCTTCCTTGTAGGGGCCGTCGGTGGCCGCAATGGTTTAGGCGTTGACACGGCGTCATCACTGTAAGGTAAAGGTCCCGGGTTCGAATCCAGCGGCCCTGCATTCAAACCCGGCATATTTATAAATGGGCTTTTTTCAAAACCACCGGCACCCCAAGGGTTGATATAACCTCTCCTGTTGAAAACCCTCGTAAAAAAAAATTAATTAAATATCCTTCGTTTGACTCTTACGTGGGATCAGCGATTTTAATGAAACAATTTTTGATAACACTAGGTCAAAAAATATTAGACTTGTGTCCCAACATGCTTGCCACAAAGCCGAAAAATTGTGTATGCAAAGTACAATCAAATGAAAATAGATATATAAAAAAGTTACAGAAACGAAAAAAAATGCTTCGAATAAAATAAACAAATTTTTTGTTTGTTTGGACCACTCTTTATAAAACGCTTAAATTTTAGACGCTTAGATTTTCGTAGTAATATGAAAATAGACATTTTTTGTCTAGCAGCAATTTTTTCCTCGCCGATAATAATATAAAAACTAAAAGTTGTTGATGAAGGCTTAAAGAAAACATAAGTAGATAATACCATGGAAATAGGACAAAATGGGATATATGGGTTTTTTAGTTAAAATGGTTCCAGCTAATCCAGCTTGAAAGTTTAAAACCAATTTTTCAGCCTACTTTACTGAAAACGTCTCGAATCGGCGAATTAATCTGAAGTGAGGAATTGAAGTGGTGCAATGCCAAAACGCGTATGAGTAGTTCAACAAATCCACAAGTGAAAACGGAACACATAAGTGAGCCGATGCAGGTTCAGCATAATCTCATTTGTTTTGTTTGCCTATTTTGATTATATCTTGTAGTGCAGTTTGAAAATATTCAGAGGTCTTATGAATTTTTAAGTGGAACACTGGGTACTCACGAGTAAAAAATCTCTCGGTGAATCCAGCTCAAAAATGTACATTTTTTGATAGCCTTGCAAATTATTATTTACCGGCTTTAAAGAGTGCTCAAAATGAATTTGATAAAAAAGTTTTTTGGTCTATTTTACTGGAACTTTTCATATATCTGGTCTCAGTTGTAACATTTGATGTATCTAATCTCATTTAATATCCTGAGTATTATTTTCATAAGTGAAATAAACAATTGCAATTCATAGAGAAGAACGAATTATTCCGAAATCGTGAGATACGGTCTGGTGTGATGTAGGTTTCAGAAAAACATTTTCTTTATCGTGCCAACGTTTCGATCTTTATTGAGATCATCTTCAGGGCCTGGGATTTACAAACATTGTTTACAGTTAACATCTAACGGTCACTAATCACCACACATAGATAAGAACCTTGAAAAACATACATAATATAGGAAGAAAACGACTTTTTTTAAATTATGTACTTAAATTTTTCTTGGGCCCTATCGCCTACTAGGAACTGGGAACACGGGTCCAATATTTTTTAACCGGGTATCATAACAAAAAGTATAATTAAAATCGGTGATCTTATGCCGGTAGGATTTTTTTTTCTAATTGTATAAAGGTAATTGTTTAAAAGGACGAGACTAGTCTTCTAATATTATAGATCTAATTTCGTTCAAATTGATTTTGTCTACTGCCTCTAACTTGTCTCTTTTATAATATGTGGGACATTAAATCAATCCAGATTAATCTTTAATTTTTAAGTATATAAGTATAATCCTTTAAAGGACAAATTGATTCAATCATTCTTCTAAAAGGAAACGATTGGACAAATACGTTAAAATTGGGGCTTTATCCACTACGTGTCTTGTATGCATTCAATATACAATATCAATTCAATATTCAACATCTACAATCTGAGATCAGATGAATTGAAACAGCATTTCAGTTTTAAGTGTATAAGCATAATCCTTTTAAGGACAACAATAAAAGACAAGAGGATTGGAATAGTCTTCTCATAGGAGGTGATAGCTCAAAGGTCATTGAAATGTTTACTCCTCGTCTCATCGGAGATTTTAACGCTGGTAAAGTACGTAGTAAATAACACTAAATAGAACCAAAGTGTGTAAAGTTTATCCTTTAAAGGACAGTGTTAACGTGTTTGTAAGTTTGTCTAGTTGTTTGTCAATATGTCTCTCTGAGATTAAATCAATTCAAACAATCAAACAAAACAAAAGCAACAAAAAAGATAAAGGTAATTCTTTAAAAGACAAGATGATTGAAATATTTCTTCCTCAGAGGAAGTGATAATTTATATTCCTTCGAATTGAACTTTTCAGTTATTATTTGATATATTTTCAACCTTATCTTACTATCATTAAATCCATTCAGGTTCGTTTAAATTGTGAATGATAATTCCACTCCTTATTTCTTCGGAGACTTTAACGCTGGTAAAGTGTAGCAAATAATTCTGTACATCACAGATTAAATTGAAAAAAAAAATATTACTTTTTAAATTTATGAGTTTAATCCTTTAAAGGATTAATTTTTTGTGGATCATAATGTAGTTCTATGTATTTTGGCTTATCTTTCTTGTGGTATGTGGTTTTTGGAAATGTTTTTTCAATTGAATTCTTATACTATGTATCTTCGAATGTTCTTCCTCAGAGGAGGTGATAGGTCGTATTCCTTCGAATTTAATTTGTCATATTTTCAACCTTATCTGCCTGACATTAATGTCAGGTTCCTTTAAAAGTTATTATGAATGGACTCCTCGTTTAATCGGAGACTTTAACGCTGGTAAAAAGTAGCAAATAATTCTGTACATCACAGATTAAGTAGAATCAAATCGTATTATTTTTTAAGTTTAAGAGGTTAATCCTTTAAAGGATTAATTGATTTGTGTTAACTTTATGTTTAGATAAAAAGAAGATTGTGCCTTCTTTTCTCATCATATTTGAAGAAAAAAGTAATCTAAGAAAAATCGAACCACTTTCAACTTCCTCGGGATATTTTATTCTAAATAAGGACAGATTAATTTTCATGTTTTTGTGATCCTTTTAAGGTCATTGCTCATGGGTTTTCTGATCTGATCGCGAAGCTAAAACGAGTTCAAGACTTCTTAAAACCCCTCCTGATCCTACTGATAGGAACCTGCCAAGAATGAAAATTAAGGAGAAATGGCATAATCGTCTTTTCAATAAATTCACAATTCAACTTAAAAAGCGGTTCTCGTGCGATAATACGAAGCTTTTTCCCAAGTTTTTCTGTACTAAAAAGATACATAGCCCGGTCAGATACATGTCAGACCAATTTTTTAAGGTCAGCAATAAAGGACAAGATGATTTGACTAGTCTTCTCATAGAAGCTGATAGCTCAAAGGTCATTCAAATTGAATTTATGGTAATATTTGTACTGTTTTCATTCAATGTAATCTCTCTGAAATTAAATCAGCTTAGGACAATGTGTTTTTGTAACTGTTGAAACTTAATCCTTTAGAAGACTGGATGATCCGATTCCCCTTCTTTTGGGATATATTAACGTAAGTCAGAATACGTTAAAAATGATCTGTAGTGGCAGTTTGTCTAGTTGTTTGTCAGTATATCACTCTAAGATTAAATCAAATCAAACTATCTTCTAATTAAATATGGGTAATCTTTTAAAAGACAACGTTGAAATAGTTCTTCCTCAGAGACGATGGTAGGTTATATCACTTCTAAATTAATTTGTCCGCCATTATTTGACACATGTTCAACCTTATCTGCCAGACATTAATTCAATTCAGGATCCTTTAAAAGTCATTATGAATGGACTCCTCGTTTAATCGGAGACTTTAATGCTGGAAAACAAGTAGCAAATAATTTTGTAATAAATCACATATTAAATCGAATCAAACAATATTTTTTAAGTTTATGACTTTAATCCTTTAAAGGATTAATTGATTCTGGTTAGCTTTATCTTTGAATGAAAAGAGGATTAAGCCTACTTCTTTCATCATATAAGAAGTAGGAAATTATCTAAGAAAAATCGAACTATTTTCAATTTCCTCGAGACATTATCTTCTGAGGAAGGATAAATTAATTTTTATAACTC